ATGGGTCTTTATTTAATAGTTTACCAGCAATGATCAACTCATTTAACCCTTTTGTTATGCTTACGTCTCTTACTATTGCTATTATGACCCCAGTGTTTATACAATAAAATTGGGTAGAAAAGCACTCTTCGTGCAAGTGCATCAATGTAGTGCTATGTTATTTGATGTTACATGCAGGGAATGGGATCAATGCTAGTGCAGAACCCTCCGTTCTAAACTTTCTTCACCCAGACTTTTTTTCACATATTTTCCCTGAGAGAAACACTCACAACAAACCAATGATGCAGAGCTTAGTAGCCAGTCCATATGCACAATGTATCAAACCTCTTTTCACTTTTTCTGTCATACCTCCTCCCAGGGGCGGACTGGGACAAAAAAATCAGCCCGTTATTCCCAATGGCCAGTCCGCCCCTGCCTCCTCCAATCTGAAGCTAACCTGTCTGTTTAAAGGGATTGTTTTTACTGGATATAGGTCAAGTGTTCGTTGATTAGACCACACATAATGACTTCAAAGTGTGCATCTCTAGAAGTTTTGGAAATGGAAAAATATATACAGTCTACAGGAACTCTGGGATCAAGAACCATTCATTTAAAGATGTGTGCATGTGACTAAGACAAACAAAGACAACAAAATGTAAGGTAAACTAGTGAAAGAAACGGATTTATGAAGCCTACTGTAGATGTAATGTAATAGACAAAAGAGGAGAACAAAAAGCCAAGGAAGCTTTTTTCTGAGGGATATTAAGATCAATTCATTAAAAACAGTCAGGTATTATTGAAGACTCAGAAGGTAAGGTATTAGATTATCTGGGGTAGACAGATAATTGAATTTACATAGAGGTGATAGAGACTTAAACTGGACCTCACTTCCCTGTGAATTCAAGCAGGTGTTCAAATAAATGAGTTGAGCAACCCCTATTCAGAAACATCTCTACTTTCAGTCAGCTAACATGTTTTGCAACAATACAACCACCAGACACAGCGGGAGGGCACAGCACAGGAATGTTTTTGCACAACTGTAGTTTCGACACATTTGCGACTGGAAAGCAGAAAACATTGATATAATTTCCATAAAACGACGGTTTAATGTTTTTGCAAACTTAAATATGTGAATTAAAACAAATACAATGTTACACGTTGTATTCACTGTAGTTATCATATCAACAGTTACCACACGCTGTGATTCGTGCTTTATTCAAAGTGTCCGTTAAGAGTTTGTGACGTTTTAGGCTAACCTGTGTCAATTAAAATGACGTTATCGTTATAGCTTCGGCCTTAACGTTATGTCAAATCACAGGAAACCCTATCAGCAAACCTAGCGTGAACCGTTAATACCAAGGGTTCACTATGCAAGCCGAAACATCCAGACACACTGTCTCAGCCTCACGTAGTGCTTAAAACTCTGTCTACTTGCTTCATTTTATCACCAACACATTACAACGCTGATTCGCCAGGCTAGCTAGCTTAAGTTCATGTTAGCTGACTGACGCTGGCTAACCACTGGCTGCTAACCTCGCTGACCAAAACAGCTGGCTAAACAACAGCGGTACTCTGATGTTCCCTTCTTAAGTAGGCTGCATACTCACATGGACACACACCGGCAAAGAAAGCAAAACACGCCAGACTCTCGTAGGCGATAGGAAAAGTATTCCCGGTCCTCTACTTTAGTTTTTGCCGGATGCTGATGAATCCACTATCCAAGCATCAAACCATGTTGGGTGGGCAGCTGCGCACTGAGTTCTTGTTTGCACTCGAAAGCCATTAGGAGGTTTGTGGGAAAACGTAGGGAACTTCGAAGGACACTAGGAGACCAAGGACACCAAAATCAGGACACCAAAATCAAGTTGAACTGCCCCAGCCCCAGTAAAAACCAGAGGTTTATGTGAAATTATTCTTTTTTTGAAATAATAGTTTTAGTGTGCAATTATAGGTTTTAATTTTGTATTTGTGTTGATTTAAAATAAATCAAACTCCCAAAAAACGTACACAGCTTCTGTGTGCTTTTATTAACATTGGAATTTACTGTGTAAGCGGCCGTGGGGGGGAGAGCTTTAGAGAGCTCTCTCCTGAAAGACTGAGCGGCTTTGATAACCTCAGCTCAGTGAGGTAAAGGCACCTTTATATGATCATTATAGTTATAAAAAAATAAGAGAATAGGTGAAAAACAGGTATAATATACTATATACAAAAAAGTTGTTATTAATAAACAAGAATACAGTTTGAAAGGGGAGTGATTTGTAAAATATCCATAAAGAAAATCTGCTTACAGTTCTGTTTCATATGGGTGTTGAGAGATGTATCCATAGATTTCCTAATGCTCTCAAAGTGCACCAGATTGATGCTCTTAACTTCAATATTTAAAAAAAAGTCTTCCCGGGGGTGCATGCCCCCAGACCCTCCTAGAGCAGGTGAGGTCCCCACCCCCACTTAAAACATGTTCAAATGGATAGGAAACTAAATACAGTTGCACACATCTTGTGTCCATATCTTCCTGTTTTGGTGGTCATGCCACAACCGTGCACGCGTGAGTCATAGTAAGTGTCTGCATTTGGGGGAGGGGGGGGGGCGCCAGTTAAAATCTTGTCTAGGGCAGCAAATTGGTCAAGGCCGGCCTTGATGGGAAGCATGTATCCTTCTGTAGTCTTGTTCTTTTTGGGGTATTTTTAAGAACTAAGGGATATAGATGTAGGCAGTTGTAAAAAAAAAAACGATTGGAAGAAGGCTATTAATATGTAGGCTATTTAGTCTACTTTTAGTAGTAATAGCCTTCTATTCTGAATCAGAATCGGTTTAGAAGAAGTAGGTTTACACATACGAGGAATTTGCTTTGGTATATGTGGTGCGTACAAAGGCACAGGAAGAAGAATACATAGCAAAACTAAATTAAATTAAAATAGGAATTTTATGACAGCTATTTTAAGACTATTATAACAAATTAACAATATTTACATATAGACAAATACTATATACTGTATCTAACGTGGAGGGATGTGCTGATTTAAAAGAGGAAGTGTGGAGAAGAAAAGTGCAACATGTGAAGGATTTACCATTTAAAAAAGAACAAATGCATAATGTTTCTCTGGGGTTCAAATCTTACTTAAGTAAACACCTATTTAAGAAGGCTATAATAAAAAATGTAGGCCTAACATTTAAGATGCCCTTTAATAATGAAGCTGGCTATAATAGAGATAATTGTGTTTATTTGTATAATGTTTTGCCGCAGAATAGTGTTGTGTATTTGACTCAAATTATGCTTTTATAATCTTCAAGTTAAAGTCAGCCAACACCTACTGTAAAGTAAATAGCAGAACATTTCTCTCCTTCAGTTCATCGAATTTTAATTTTGACAGTCATAACTATTACCGAAAGTCTTACCTTCACTTTGAGCAGTTTATGTTGTTGGCTTTTTGCCAAAAGACTAGTACGAATGCTAAATTATAATAAAAAGGGCAAAATGCTAAAAGACAATGAAACCATTGCTCAAATCTGTAAGAACGTTTTAATTGTAGAAAGAAAAACCTTTTTTAATCACAAAACACCTTTTGGTCTGTCCTTCAAATTCAAATCTCTATAGAGTGGCGAAGTCCCTCCCCTTCCGGGGGACCTCCATGGGACCTTATTTCGGAAAAATTATGTATTGAAGTCAATGGAGAGAGAAAGATTATCTTTTGATCCCGTTTGAATTGTGCCACGAATTACACATATGATGTTTGTCCATTTAAAAGATAATTTTGCCAGTAAAAAAAAAGAAAATGTGTCGTAAAACTGTGAAGTAACAAATGTTTTTGTGTGAAACACTCAATGAATTATATCTCTGGTCTTGCATAACACACGTCACCAAGATGGCCGTCACTACTGTCTTGCTAAACAAGGGATTGACTACCCTCACTATCACCACAACGAAACACGTCCAGAAGAATGTCATGCAAAGCTGCCTGCCTTCCTTTGATTCTCTCTGAACTGCCTGATCTTTTTAATGTTTAATGTCAACCATGTGTGCAGATAGCATGAAGTAGAAAAGATCGCCGATGCTAATGTAGCGTTAGCATTTCTCCCCCGGGCTTAAATGGTTATAGAATGATCACACTGGTGTGACAGTCTTCAAAGGGTTCACGAAATATGACTACTACTCTTACTGTGTAACATTTTGGGTTACTTAATGTTAATGCTAATAAAAATGACAAGGCTAAGGCTGTAATGCTAACTAACGTGCTTGCTACTAGCTAGGTAGCTAACTTGATCCAGCCACTCCTGGTCCTTTCATCAGACGGGAAGCTAAAGAACGAGCAAGACCCATTGCTGGTATGATAACAACCTGGTACTAAGCACACAGGCATCTTGTTAAAGTTATCTTATTTTAGCTATCTCTTATATTTAGCGGAGGAAAACAATTGTGACGTCAGTTATTATAAGTGTTGGGACTAACGCGTTACAAGTAACGCAGTAACTAGTACGCTAACGCATTACTTTTTAAATTCAGTAACGCAGTTACCGTTACTACATGGTGCGTTACTCCGTTAGTTTTTTTATATAGTCAACAGCCAGGCGAACAGAGATGAGAACTGTACTTAAGTACTTGAGTAAATGTACTTAGATACTTCCTGTGTCACATGCGGAGACGGGCTGTGGGCGTGTTTGTGTTGTTTACTAACAAGACTATCATGGCGGCGGCGGAGCTCAAGTCTAGTTTCTCCACCTGGAGATATTCTCACTATTTCACTTTTGTCGAGCACAACCCTGCTGAAAAAACCAGCTTGGACCAGCATGGTGTTGACCAGCATGGACCAGCATGGTGTTGTGTTTTGGTCACCAGCATGGACCAGCTTGGACCAGCATGGACCAAGCTGGTCCATGCTGGTCCATGCTGGTGGACCATGCTGGTGACCAGCAGACCAGAATTTATCTATCACCAGCTTATGTTAGTATTAAATATACAATGTATTCTGGTAACTATCAAAATAAAGACATTGTATAGTGTTCATAACAGTATTTTTATTTAATAAATTATACATTAACAATACAATAATATTACAAAAAAAACCTACGTCTAAATAAATATATAATCTATAATAGATGCATTTGATTTAGAAATAACAAATATAATTCAACATGTAAATAGCAACAAATAAATTATAGACTTTTTTTTTTTAAGTTTTTTTTTTTTTTTCTTGTTAATATCCATTATCTTCTCTGTTATGTATCTTCCGGTCTTTGCCAATCCGGCCAGCATTTCTTGGTCCTCCACGTATTTCTCGTACAGCCACTGCTTGAAGCAAACTGAAAATAAGAAACAACAATGTTTTAACAAATCGTATTCAATTATGTGATGACAGAACTGTAAACAGAATAGTTATTACTTGTTAGAGGCTGCCTGGTGGTCTTGGTGGTGGGGCATTCCTTTCCAGTCAGGCTCCTTTCCCCTAAGGTGTCGGTGCCCCAAAACACCACAGCCAACTCCTTCACGAACATGGAGTCCCTTGTGTTGTTTTTTATTTTTGCCCAGACCTCTGGACGCACTGGAATCTCCCCTTGCTCCTGAAACATAAAATGTGTACAGTAGCCTATACATAAAAGGTAGACACCAATATGTGACTGAGGAGCAAAAATAAAAAGGCTCCACTATGGAAATAATATATACCTTCCCATGTGGCTCGCTCTTTGAAGGGGAATTATTGGGGTGTGTGGGTGTCCAGGGTGCCGGCTCACGCTGTTCAGGTATCTCAGATTGTTCTTCTACAGAATGTGAATAAGACAAAGAAAGGACAAAAACATTTCATCAATAGTATAAATTCATATGTGTATATCTTGATGGGCTGATTGTTTACACATTTCACTGCCATCTTGTCTGTTTCTTTTATTGTAGTTGTTGATGAAAGTTAAAATGCAAAATCGATCCAAGACTGTCATTATTATGTGCTTGCAATTTAAAAACAAATGTACTTACTTTGTGAAAATACCTGGTTTAATAGTTTATCCAAATTAATGTTTAGATTTGCTGTCCTGTAGGTGGTGACTTCCCCTTCCAGCTCAGCTTTGGAATCCTCCAATGTAGCAGATCTTTATAATGTAATGAAAAATAAAATGATCAACAAAACAGCCTTTTAGCCTACCACCAGTCAAATCTGTTGTTACCCTATGACTGGTAAAAACACAAACATTAAATGTACCTTCTGTATTAACCGTCTAAAGATGAGTTCCTGTTGTAATTGTGCAGCTGTATTATCTGGGAAATAGAAGAATCGGGTAAGGATTCAGTATTTTTTATTTATTTTTCTTATTGCTATTTAACTATATTTTATTACGGTGCCCTTAAAGATTTTTTGTTTTGTATTATATTTCTTGTTTTATATGTTATGTCTGCACCATGACATCAAGTAAAATTCCTCGTATGTGTGAACCAGAGGTTGCGCTAGACAGGGTCGTAAAACTTCCGTCAAAATCCAGAATTACCCGTCGGCTTTTACACAACTCTGACGAGGGGGGGGGTGGGAGAAGCATGCTCGTGAACTGTCAACGGGGGGGGGGAGGGACAGTTCACATGCGCCGTGTTATGCATGGCTGCTGCACCTCGCGGGACTGCGGTCAACTCAGCCGTCTCTCAAATTTGCTTGGTCAAATGAGCAGTTCTTCATTTTTAAGTGCGCGATTTATTGCGCCTTTACGGTAATCGCTGAGAAGCGGCACTAACGCAAGAGTAAAAAAAATGCATGTTTTTTCTGCTTCATGCGATACAAATTATTTTTACCATGAGTTCTTAAAAAAACTAACACTGTTTGACTCAGTCCTAGTTTGACTGCCACCAACAATAAAAGTACTTTTACTGTCTTTTTTCTGGGTAATAGCCTACTCTCAAATTCTCCTCCTGAGAACAAAATCATGCAACTTCTGCTATATTTGATGAGATCAAATGATTTTAGCGATACATCCTTAATAAAAGTGATACTGTTGGACTCAGTACTTGTTAGACTACTACCACAAGTACAATCAAGTACTTTTACTGTGTACTTTTGAGTAATCCCCTGTCAAACTCCCCTCCAGAGTACAATAATGCATGTTTTCTGCCCTCTTTGATGAGAGATAAAAGGATTTTTTCGCGGGAGCGTGCACAGCGTTAAGCCAAAACTCACAGACATTTCAATGATTTGTACGGCACAGTTAGGTTTGGAAACGGTATCATTTCCTTTTTGGAGGGCATGTATAACACGGCATAACACCGGAGCCTCGCTGCGGGGAAACTTTGGCGCTGCTCTGAGTTTGTTCTAATCTTTCAAAATGACGGACTGCTTTCAGATTTGTCCGTCATTGTTAAAAAAAATCCGTCATAGACGGAAAATATTCGGTTAACGCGACCTCTGATTGGCAGACAATCAATATCAAATGACTCGGATCGTTATTAGCATCAGCATTTGATCACCTTTGTCTACTTGCAGCTCAAATACAAAGATAACTCCACTCCTCTCCTACCACTGCTTACCTCTAATAAGCCTTGCTAGAACTAGTGTCCTAGTCATAGGGTCCAGGACTGACTGAAGACATGTGGAACAGAGTCCCAGACAGGCATGGTTCCATGCAGGGAACTGGAACTTTGAACAGGTGTTTTCATCTGTTCTGCCTGAAGATTCACAAGTTCTTGATCAGGTGTTTGATGTGGGCTGGCATGATCCTTTCTGCAGCCAAACAAAGAAAACATTATTAATAATAGCAATGATGGTAACAACAATACTATTAGTATAACTATTTATATAGCACTTACACAATTGCAAAGTGATTCTCACTACAAAAATAAAGAACAAAACAATATCATCAATACAAAAAATAAGCATTAAAGAAGTTCAGAGACAAACATCCTCTTAAGTAAAAGACCAAATCATGTCAAGCTTTAAATCTTTCAGTCTTTACAATGCACTGTTGGAAATTACCTTCCAAAGGCTAAATTCAAACTCAAAAATAACTGGGTACCAAATTGCTTTACCTGATAGAACACGTTCCACACGGAGCAGCAACCATCCGGGTGGGCCTTTTGCTGCATATCATCTCCTCCCTCTCCACTGTTTCCAGTAGATCTCTGCTGCCTCTTTTCAATAAAACTGAAATGCCCCAAATCATATTTAAAAAGTTAAAAACAATAAATTGCTTCTGGCATTAACATGGATTTGAATCTCACCTTTTTCCTGGATGTCAGGAAGGCCAGGAAGTGGTTCCCTTTAAGTCCACAACCAGTCTTCTCTTTCTTTCACCCTCCGAAAATCTCCCAGCATGCACCAGGAAGAAGAGGAAGAAGCAGAAGATGAATTTTTCAGAACATTTTCCTTAAAAATAAGAAAAACATACCGATTTCTTTTTTAGAGCATCCATTTCTGTGGATGTCCCTTCACAATGATCACATCAAAAAATCTTCTTGGATCCTTGGAACTCTGATTCGTTTTGGAGGATTTGATGTTGAGTCCTGAATCTCTTGGGTTTCTGTCAAAAGGTAAGTGTAAGTGAAGCTAACGTTAATGTTTAATGTCCATGGTAATGATTTGACCTTACTTTAATTTCGGTAGTTTATATAAATATATATATACGGCTTATGAAGTCTGCATACTCTAGCCGTTGGAGTCTAACGGTTAGAATAAGCCGTTGGCTTAAGCCAACGGCCGTTAGAGTAAGCCATCTTAATGTACCAGTAACGAATATATTATATATGTATATATATATATATAGGCCTATATATAACAAATAATAATATATATATATATATATATATATATATATATGTATATACGGCATACTCTAACCGTTAGAGTCTAACGGTTAGAATAAGCCGTTGGCTACTCGCTTATTAATTATTAATGTTAAGGTAGCCTAATTATTCGTACCTTTCACAAGCAAAACCTGGCCGTTGAAATATTTGTATTCCCAAAGAATGGGATAGAGGATGTCCGCTTGATATGTTTTTAGGTTGAAGTTTTGGATGTTTGTTATAGGTATAGCTACAAGCCTTAAATCCGTCCGTGTATTTCACATAAGCAAACATCCTGGCTGGCAGATGTCGGGCCGAACGGATTACTTGTATACATTCTTGGCCTCACGCGCTACCTATTTCTTTTGCGCACGAGACACTGCTCTGGAATCTTGAATTCTAGAATGTTCTTCTAAGAGCTGTCATTATAGCATGAAGCGCTGTCATTCATCTTATTATGTAATGCAGTGGCGCAATACAGTCTATTATTTTAGTGCCTGTTTTTGTCAACCTCTTTATTATGCTTAGGCTACTGAGTGATCCCTATCCTGTACCCTCATTGGACAGCTGTTTTTACTTTCCTAAACATGGCTAGTCGCATAGCATCATCCATGTGGACTCTAGTTTGTTCATGCTTTTAGTTTTTTCTGATATGTGCTTTAAGTCACTCACATCTGTCTGGATCCATGCTGGGTCTGGTCCATAGACTGGTCTGATCCTCTCGTTTTGAAAAGGGAGGCAGGGAAACATAAACATGTTTAACTCAGCGGCAATAGCTTGCAACTAACGCTAGCTTCCGGCTAACGTTAGCTTGCAACACGCGAGCAAGCAGCTAACGGGAGTTTGCAGCTAACGGGAGTTTGCAGCTAACGCTAGCTTGCCTCCAACGTTAGCTTGTTTAACTCAGCGGCCAAGTATGTTGCTTGCCGCTAACTAGCTAAATGGTTCTCCAACTAGCAATTGCTAGTTGGAGAACCATTACGTTAACGCTACCATTTTAGCCAAAACTCATAACAAATTTAACTAGCATATCTTAGTTGGTCATTTATTAACGCTATGGTTTTAATGCAGTATTCAGGACACCATCGCTCACCCTTTACAAATAATATTTGTCCCTTGAAGAAATCGTCCTCCCAGCGTACCCAATATACAGTGTCAATGTTACTTTGTATATATTTCTCCCTGTCAAAGTCCTTGATATAAGAGGTCGGAACGATTTCTTTTACTCCGTCGTCCAAGTATTTCACGTAGGCAAACATTTTTGCTTAATTGATCGTGTGGTTGCTGTGTGGGTCAGTCCAGAGCCCTATAATATAAATTATATTATAGATCTCTGGATCAGTCGAACATCTCCTGTCTCTCAGCCAATCACAGTGAATTTAACTATACAGAGCGGGAAGCGCGTGAGCTACCTCAGCTCACGCGCTTCCCGCTCTGTATAGTTAAATATAATATTTAAGACAAGTAAATACCATAGACTGCATTTCTCTTACAGATTTGGTCTGTGTGCAGTAGACGTAGTATATAGATATATATATATAATGATTGCAATCTTTTGAACTCTAGCAACACAGATAAGGTTTAAAAATAAAAGTATACTAATCATTTTAGAAAATCCAAGTTTCTTTTTTGGCAAAAAAATTACTTTTATCTAAAAATATTCATTGTTTTTTCTCATTTAAAATTACAAATGTAATCTTGTAAATGTTGTGTTTTGTCTGAATATGTACCCCCCTCCCTGGCTCCATAATATAACATTTAATGACCCCCAATGCCCCCCGCCCCAACTGTATATCTCATTATTTTCCTCTCCTGTTCTGATGGAGCTGTAGCTGTGTCTCTCACATCTGGATTAATAATATATAACCTTCACAAAAAAATGTTTTTAAAAAGTGTGGATTATTCCAAGTACCTTTTTTAAAACCAACAATTGAGTGTCACCTTACACTGGTGCTATAGTCCGAGTTAGTAAAAACTGCTCGTTAATTTAAATTGTTCGGTTTATACTGTCAGTAGAATAATTCCAACCTATTATTGGTGAAATTGCCATTCATTAGTCAGTCTGTTAATGATACCCATGTTCTTTTTTTAATTTTAGAATGCCAAAACGGAAGTACAAATTGTACTTGGAGCCTCACAGTACAATCAACGCTGAGCTAAACTGAAAAGTGGACATTTTGATGTAAGTTAATTCATGATATTTTTGTGTTAAACCTTTCAAAGTATCAATTCTGTAATTATTATTTTTCATTCTTACCTGGTGATGTCATTTTAAGGTGGCAGATGACTTCAAAAACAAATCAGGGTCACACGTTGCAGATGTTGAGGTGAGCGAGGATTATGCTGTTTCAATTTATGTAAGACATTATTTCGGACTGGACAAAACCACGTTTTCGTTATCCTGTGCAGACCATACAGGGCTCAACGCTAACTTTTAAAAGTGGTTGCCAAGCTGGCAACCAGGCATCAGCTTTTGGTTGCCAAAACTGAAAATACGGTTGCCATTTTTAGTCACCTTGTATTTTAAATAATTAAGATACTATACAGTTATACATCAACTTAATAATGAACATGTGACACAAAAGAATGTTCAAAGGCTTTACAATAAGTAATTAACACAATTATTTTAAACCTAAGTGGTAGTAAACTTGTCCACCCTCAATTGCTGGTATACAAAATACCAGCAGTACAGCTGTTGTCATGTTCTTCACAGATCCCTCACAAATGAATTGAGCAAGTCACTAGTTTCTTGATCATCCGTTGTCTTCCTTTCAAATGTGGGTTGTCTTGACCTTTGTGCTGACCCCCACCATAGATCCATTGTCCCTTCAGCATTGAAGTCTTGGATTGGCCATACTAATACATTTCTAATGTTAAATAAATGAAAACCATTCACAGCTAAGAATTAGATATGAATTATTAATGCTGTAAATCACCTTTAATATGTCTAACTATATTTAAAATGTGTTACCTTTGTATAGAAGTGATTATCATTTTATGCCAATATTTAAATGGTAAAGTTTCGTTTTGCACTTTTATTTTGGTAGTAATAAGATCGGGACTCTTATTTTGAAGGAACTTTTACCAGAAGTGAATGGACAACATTCCTCTTTGCTTTTCGTCCGGGTTCATCTTGCGCTTTATCAGTTGAATCACTTTGAACATTCGTTTGAGATGTTGACGGGTTGGCCGAACCTTTTATCCCACAGTCAAACAACTTAATTTGCTTCGCCATTTTTTGTAAAATAAACACACGAGTAAACGTGCATCGCTTTATGGCTCCGTAATCACACCAATGCACGTGCAACTTAAGTATCAGGTTCCGACTGGTCACAACAATAATTAAATATCACTCTTAATACAACAAATAATTAACATTTATCTATTTTGGGGTGCACATTTTGCTGTTTGCTGTCCTTATTTCTTTATGTTAAAAACTGGTTGCCACTGATGGCCAAGAAATTTTTTCTGAATGGTTGCCAATGGCAACCTGGCAACCGTTACTGTCGAGCCCTGCCATGTCTCCATGTACAAGTTATGTCTCAAATGTTGAGGTAAATGCAATCACAATTCCCTTTGTGCTTTGGGTTGTCATACATTTCTGTATTCACTCACATTGTATGCAGAACCTGCATTCTTAAATACATGTTTTCTGATGTTTTTTTTCATTGCCCAGCAGATGGATTGGGATTCCCCATTTGAAGGCACTGTTTTTCTGGAGTCGTTAATATAAGACGTTGGAACGATTTCTTTAACTCCTTCGTCCAAGTATTTAACGTAGGCAAACATTTTTGCTTAATTGATCGTTTGATGTGGTTGCCGTGTGGGTCATCCAGAGCCCTATAATAGAAATTCTACATAAAGAAGCAGGTAGATTACAAATAAATGCATTTGATGCTCCCAGTTATTTGCATTATCCATCCTATTATATTGTTGTTTTTTTCCACATTTAGGTGCCACCCCACTCCCCGGAACGTTCCTTGCTCGCCTACACCAAGACCTGGACAACCCAGGTGGACTTGGGGCCTTTAGCATTGCCGGAGAGGATCAGGAGGGGACACGGAATTCTGGAGCGCCCCCGAGAAGAGATGTGGGCCAGATTTGTCAGAGATGTAAATACATCCCTTCTTACTTTTAATTTCAATATTTGTTTTCCTTGAACTGAAAAATGTATAATATGTCATTCCAGGTCCTCAAACATTACATCTGCATGTCTGCGGATAGCAGTTAATGGATCAGCACCAGAGTATAATACAACAGTAACTGATTGCATTTTATCGAAGTGCTTTGTTTTCAGGGTAGATTTACTTTACCCGAGGGTGTCCATTTCTGGCTATTTCTGACAACTACTTCTGAGTAAAATATTGTACTATTTAGTATGCAGAACCTGCATTCTTAATGCAGCTAACGCGAGCTTGCAGCTAACGCTAGCATGCCTCCAACGTTAGCTTGTTTAACTCAGCGGCCAAGTATTTTGCTTGCCGCTGACTAGCTAAATGGTTCTCCAACTAGCAATTGCTAGTTGGAGAACCATTACCTTAACGCTACCATTTTAGCCAAAACTCATAACAAATGTAACTAGCATATCTTAGTTGGTCATTTAGGCAAACTTTTTTTTCTGTGCAAAATGAATATTGCCATACAGGAATGAAAAGTCAATAAATAAACATGTTGTTAAAACTCACACATTTTTGTTGTTTTGTTGAAAAATGCATTATAGCATTGCAAGAATATAAGCTTTCTATATGCTATTACTCCTTATTTGAACCGTATATCATTGCAATTCTTTCAAAGAAATTCTACATTTATCAGAATTTTAACTCTTTAAATGTTTGTTTACGTAATGCCATTGCTTGTGGGGTATTTTTTCTTTATGGAATAGATCAATGATTCGCAAAAACAAAATGCAATTGTATTTGTAAAGACAAACATGAGAAATTGCTATATATGGTCGAAAATAGTAAAAAGCTACATTTTGAAGTCAATGTCATAATTATTTTATGCTGCAAGATAGATCTAATATTGTGTTTTTTAACAGGGTAATCTTTTGGGTGTGAGTGAATAAATGTATTTAATATAGAGATTCTATGAATTTGCAGTTATTTATGTTCTGTAAATGTATATAAACTGAAATATTGGTATGTTTTTGTATTTCATGCCATCTTAGTAATAATAGATTTTTTTTTTTCATACCATGTTACAGCATGAACCAGCATGAAGTTCATGGTGGTCCATGCTGGTATAACGGTTTTTGGCACCGGCAGACCAGCATAATGACCAGCAGTCCATGCTGGTGTCCATGCTGGGGTCCATGCTGGTCCATGCTGGTGTCCATGCTGGTCCAAGCTGGTCCAAGCTGGTCCATGCTGGTCCATGCTGGTGTCCATGCTGGTGTCCATGCTGGTGTCCATGCTGGTCCAAGCTGGTCCAAGCTGGTCCATGCTGGTGTCCATGCTGGTCCATGCTGGTGTCCATGCTGGTCCAAGCTGGTCCAAGCTGGTCCATGCTGGTCTACCAGCATAATGACCAGCTTGGACCAGCATGGACCAGCTTGGACCAGCATGGACCAGCTTGGACCAGCTTGGACCAGCTTGAAGTCCATGCTGGTCCAAGCTGGTTTTTTCAGCAGGGAAAGAAAAGAACGTTTTAGTTAAATGTAAGTTGTGTCTTGGCGGGTCAAAGATCCTATCTACTGCCCAAACCAGTCATTCAAATCTCTTAAAACATCTGCAAAAACAACATGCTGGGACGAAGCTAGTAGCTAAGACCACAGAGACTCAGCCGACGCCACTCCACCTCCACCTAAGCAACAGCGGCTGGATTTTAACCAAGGGACTGCTGGCCAGGGAAAAGTCGATAAAGCCATTGCACGGTATGTTGTAGAACACATGCAGGCTATTGCTACAGTGGAGTCACCCGCTTTCAGGGAGCTAGTTAGCATGATAGCATGTCCGGGCGGCACACGGTATATTCTTTCACACACAGTGACGTCACGAGCTACCCACAATGCAACACGCGCCATATAAATATATATAAATGCGCCATTTTCCTGGAGGTGCTAATATCCTGGAAGTGCAAATATAAACAGCTAGCTAACTAGTCAGGCAGAGCGCAGTAGGTTTTTTTTCTGAATTAACGACCGAATAAATCGCTGCATGTCTTCGGATTACATCTCTGGACTTGAGGGGTATGCTTTAGGTCGTTACCAGCGTAAACTAGAGCTGTGTGGGTTGTTAGAGACTGCCTGCAGATGTATGGAAAAACGACAGTGGCCTTCGTCGATTTTGGCTGCATCTACGTCTAATTTCTGGAAACACCAGGTGAATACCCCACTTGTCACAATAATATTATCATGCCATTGCATATATGTGGTATTTTAGAGTTGACTAGATATTGATTAAGGCAATAGACTATGATATTCAGTACAGGAAGCTTAGCAACACCTAGACGGTGTACGGCTGCTTGCACCTCGCGTAAAACGGCGCAGACCGGAAGTACGGTGTCGCGCTCGGCCCAATACCCGTATGTGTGTGTGAAAGAATGGGACGGAAAACTTTTTCCAACTACCTGGAGAAAGAATATACAAAAATGGAAAGCCAGCTAATATCGATGCAATCCAGATTGCATATAATGCATGTCAAGTTGATCAACAGATTGTATTATTCTCCAATGCAATAACAGTACTGAAAGGAAGGCTATCAGGGCATTAATGGGAGACATTTTTTCAAGTAACGAAAACGTTAAAGTAACTAGTAAAGTAACTGAGTTACTTTTGACATGAAGTAACTAGTAATGGTAACTAGTTACTGGTTTTCAGTAACTAGCACAACACTGGTTATTATGACATTACTTACGCGACTCTGTGATTTGTAGTCTTTCTAGTTTGCGTCTTATATTTCAACAGTTTTACGACAAACTGTGACTTTTCTGACATGGAAATGATTTTTTAAGATTGGCAAAGATCATATGTGTAATTCGTGGCACAATTCAAACGGGATCGAAAGATAAGTTTTCTCTCTCCATTGACTTCAATACATAATTTTTCCGAAATAAGGTCCCATGGACCGGAAGTAAATGGGCGTGACTTCGCCACTAACTATGGCACTAATGCAGTGGCGGTTCTAGACCAATTTGACTGGGGGGAGCAGGCTGGGGCCAGTTATTTTATGAGGGGGGCACAATAAATGCAGGACGAAAAAGACAAAGAGAGTATGAAGTAATAAGTAAGAAAACAATGCAATATAGTTATTGGTATTTGTTTCATTACACATTATTATATGCTTACCCTTAACCTTTGTGTACTGTTTGGGTCTGCGGGACCCGTTTGCAGTGTTTACTAAAATAAATTGTATGCAATTTAATTATTTGAACCTGCATTATTTGGGGGTGGACCTCACATCTTCTAGGGGGTCCGGGGGGCATGTTCCCCGGGAAGATTTTTTTGTTTTAATGTTGAAGTTAAATGCATCAATCTGGTGCACTTTGTGCCCAAAATCAATTTATGGATACAGCTCTCAACACTCATATGAAAGAGAGCTGTATACTTTTCAATAATCCAAACATCTTTAGAATATGATCACAACCAATAACAAATCATTTAAACTTGTTTATTCTTATCTTATGTTACCTAGTTAGCATTCTTTCTTTTTATTTATGCATATTTGACTAATCACTCCCCTTTTAAACTTTTTTTTTTTATACTGTCCTATAATACACATTTTTCTTACTTAATTTTTGACTGCTTGCGTTAAAAAAAACATATTTGTAAAGTGGGGGCTATTGAGGCTCGCGATCGACGTGTTGGAGACCCCTGCACTAATGGGTCCGACTAGAATGACTAATATCGTTAGTTCCGCCAAGCCAGCCAAGAAATCGTTTAATCATAACATTTTTATTTTTTTTAAAAGTCAGTGTTAGGGGGGCCACCCCTGGCCCCCCCTAGAACCACCCCTGCACTAATGACAGACACAATAAATGAGCTGACTATAGGAGGAGGTTGAGGAAGAAGGAACAGCTAAAAGAGAGAGACTAGCATACCCTCAGAAATTACCAGCCATTAAGATGGTTGTAGCATTCTGCTGCTGTTTAAAAGTACTTTACATGACAGTCTATCAGGGTCAACCCATAAATACCTTTCACTCTAACTGCCTGCTTGATGCTTTGGCATTACACTTTATTAGATTTGCTCTAACAACGGCTGCCTTGTTCAGATTCTGTTCCACAGCTGCATGTGTAAAAATGGTTTGTCTATCATAGATATCATCATCTGGGTCGGATAGTCATAGTTTCACCGAAGTAATGAAAGAGAGATGAATATTACAAAGTGTATAAAAAAGAGATGCTATGCCACAGGAATAAACAGCGTCATACAACAAAAAACATTACAACCTTAATAAAGCATTAGATGTTATGATACAGTCTGAAAACAAATGAAAATTCCAATAAGATGTATGTTTATATATTAAACACTCATTGTGACATTTTATATCATGGTGGCTGTAACCTAGTTTTATTTTCTAGCTTCATTGCTTGGAGCAATACCCTGACATTTATAAATGTGCTAGAGTTTTTTATTCAGTCTAAGAGAAATTACTACGTATGTTCCCACTAGCAGGACTATTTCTAAGAGAACAGGAAACCATGAAATATCCAGAAACAATTCGATAAGATATGCTCGAATAAGCAGATCAAGTAATATCTTTTTATCATACAACTCCAGTGAATCAGAAGAGTGCTTATATAAACCAGGAAATTGGGTTTTGTGACACTTACTCTGTTTTAGAATAATATGAAGTGTAATCAAATAAAATAAAAAATAAAAAATATATATAAACATGAACATTTAAAATGTCGATAAAGATCAAATCTAATTAAATATAAATTGTATGCTACTGTATTGTACTGCAATTATGTAACATGTAAAGTAGTAAATTAGTATTTGTAAAAATAATGCAACATTTGCACAGTTTAAGAAGGTTTGGCAACATTTTAATTCAAGAGAAAGCCAAACTCAGTCATTATCTAGAGTTAGTGGATCAAATGAAGTTGTTATATGTTTTACAATTGTTATTGCAGTGAGGATAGGATACTAATTATGGTACAATAAAGAAAGATCCAGACTAAAACTGCAAGACTTTAATGGCATTCAAAGAAACTGTGTACAATTAATGTTTTAGAAATGTCCATGTTTCAAAATCTATGTAATCTTATGTGCCACATTTCTACACTGATTAAGGTGGAATCAACTTATGGGAAATAACAGATAAACTGATTGTGACAGACGAAAAACACACAGTCAACCAACAAATGTAGTCTCGGAGAAGTATTTTGGACAATAGTTTTCACATGGGGGGCAGTATGACTACCACACTGAATTCTACATACTGCACTCACAGCTCAATTATCAAATCGGTGGCGCTCCCTGCTAAGTGAAAGCTATAATGTGTCTCATATAGCCGACTGTAAATATGGCATCATAAACACCCTGTATGGGCCCATTATGCATTATTCATGACTGTTCAATCACAGACAACTGCTCTAACAACATTAATATTCATCACATTCTATTGTGCAATACAAATATTTCAAAATGCATCTGACTACCTAACACCTCCACTGTGGTAGATTAGGTCTAACTGTCTCATTTAAAACCACTTGACTGGGTAGAACATGCAGGACTGAGCTGTGCAATGTTACAAGGTGATTTCAAAATATATCCTCTACGAGTAAGCATGTATAAGGAAGGGCAAAACTCTTTGCACGGCTCAGATTTGCACAGCATGACATCTGGATCAAACAGCATGTGGGGATTTATCTATACGCTTTTACCTGACACTGAACGTGTTCTTCTTTCTGTTTTTTTTAGTTAAAACTCATGAAACAGTATTACGAAACCTGCTTTTCTGGATGAAGAGGAGGTCTATAACTGCAACAACTCTGCAGAGGCAAAGCAGGTGCAGGCTGAAACGAAGCAGAAACAACCCAGCAAAAGATACAAATGGTTAACTTAAACAGGCTGTGTTTTTCAGTGGAAGTGTCTAATTGATGCACATGCTAAATTAGCCACCTGGATCCATTTCCCCTCAGAATTAAGCCTCTTTTACTTCTCCTCATCGCTCAACTTATTCCTCGGAAACCAGCTGAGTAAACACATCGGCTTCTGCACATCTCAAACACTAAGCACTAAATGTATGCAAATAGGTCTCGGCCTATATGTTTTATAACTGTCTGTCTTAGTAAACAGTAGGTCTGATATTGGAGATGTTACTACATATGATTTCCCACACCTAAAATATTATTAATATTAACAGCTGGATTTCCTCTCTGAAATGAGGTTGGGGTCCAGTGACAGTTTTCCACTTTTTACATTTACAGTAATCAATAATGATTTTTTCTCTTCTGTTTCTTACATTAACAACCAATAGATTCAGAATCAGAAATCCTGTATAAATCCCACAGCTGGTACATTTACATAATGACAGGAAAGGGGACAGTGTTGTTAAAAAGTACAACATTTAAAATAAATTGACTTACATATTAAACAAAGAGGCAAGCACATGTTAATACAAAATAAAAATAAATTCACCTCCCAGGTTGAATAAATAAGAAGCAGCATTTGTTGGTAGTTGTAAGTGAACATATAACATTTGTAAAGTAGCAGCCAGTATTATTCAAGAGGCTTTAATGTCATATGCACAGTAGCTACAGTGTAGTTAAGGCAATACAAATCTTAAATCTTAAGCTCAACGTTGCAACATATAGCACATTTAAAAAATAAAATAAAAATAGTGCAAGAAGAAACAGACTAGAATAGATTAGGATAAAAATAGTGCAGATTATGTTGCAGACAATGCAGATGAAGTAAACTACATACATGTCAGAACTATTTATAAATACAATAAGCCAAATATTGCAGAGAATGTTGTAAGTGACCAAGTCAATGCAGGAGTCTATTTACATGTAAATAGATCACCATAATGTAACAATAGTAGTGTATAGTTAATAGTAAAACGTATATATTGCACAGTATTTTTGCAATAACATGTTAGATGTAATACAGTAGGCCTATATATTGCACATAAGAAGTGTGATTGCACAACAGTTGCCGTATGTGTGGTGGTCTACCTGGGGCAGTGCTAACTGTTTATTTTATTCTGGGTTGTAAAAATTATATATTATTGTGGTAGGCAGGTTTTTAAGAGAGTCTGGGTCATCATGTCTCCTTAAAATGTGTTTTCAACTTTTTGTTCAACTGGATGTTCTTGTAAGTCATTATTTATAAGAATACAATGTGCTTTAACTGGATTTAAATAGTGCTACATTGTTGTTCACAAGCCTCAACATCAACATGATTTTGAAAGTTCTATGTGCAAATGTAATGCAGTTACTCATGTAATCTGTTACTTCTGGCTGTTGCTGACTGTCTGGTCAGGGTGGTGAAGTGTCCTCTGGAGGGGAGCCGCCGCTGTGGTCACATTATAAACTGCATCCTCTCTGTGACAACTGTAGATCAGCGAGCCTAAGCGAGCCTCGCTCTTATTTCAGGGATTTGTAGTTTTTAGTGTAAAGAACGCCGACGCACGGCAGAGGCCTTTGTGAGAGTAAAACTACAGTTCCCTCAGAGCTACTCAGAGGTGTTAGTTGTCAATATGGCTGTTGTCAGACAGACAAAGCAGAGAGGCAAATAATTCGCCACTGATTAGAAATCCTTGGAAAGGGGTCGGACAGGGCACTGTATCATACCGCCTTACTGTTCGGCTGCAGTGAAAGACACATCGGGTCTTTGCTTCTGTAACAAAGTTAAATGGTTAAGTGGACGATTTGAACCGAGGTAAGTCATGCACTAAGCTATTTCCAACACTAAAAGTGATGTTATTCATATCAGACGGTCGCTAGCCAGCAACGGCGGCTAACGTCAGCTAGTATCAGCATTGGCATGGCTAGCATGTTATGCTATCATTCTACAACCCCGGTGCTACCGAAAATAGCATAAGTTGCTAGCCGTCCTCTGTGATGCATACGGACTGTTACCCGGTATAAATGCAGCAGCAGCTCCAGTGAAAATTATTTATGATCTCGAGTGTTTCAAGCCGGCTCATTTAGCGTTTCATAGGACACTGTCACTCAGTCTGCGAAAGAAACATTTGCTAACGTTAGCTCGTGGGCAAAGGGCGTGAAGGCTGGCTGGCTGGCTGGCATCACAGCGGCTCCCCTGCAGCGCGGAGCAGCAGATCTGTGCTCCAGGGCCACAGTCAGCAAAACAAAAACACATGGACCAAAAGATACCAGCAACTTTGGTCAGTGTTTGGACAATCTAGAAAAATACACTGCCAAAGAAACGCGTTTGATTTACACAACAGACTGTACTGGGGATATCGAATGCATCATGCATGCAATCTGTATTTAGGTAAGAAAGCTTCCTCTTTTTTTTGTTGCATAATGTAAAACTAAACATGATGTATTTACTGTCATTGGTAATTTTGAATACTTTTCTTTTTTGTGTTATAACTAGTTCTCTAACTTACTGTTATCAAGTGATTCCTTAGGGATGTGTGCAAAAGAAAGTTTATCATCTGTCAGGACTGACCACCCACAATGGCTCTTGACTTATGATTTATATAGTAACATTGGATCAGTCAGTCTTTGTTCTCTTCTTATGGGTTGCACACCTCCAGTTTGTGTTATGTGTGACCTACAGTAAAACAGTGTATAACATTAGGCTGATTCTGTGTTCCTTGCAGGGTGTGTTTCAAGCAGTTAAACCAGCTTTAAATTGAATAGTTAACTTTGTGAATACTCAACCAGGATGGCTAATGATTCCAAATGCTCATTTGCTTGCAACGACTAATACATCTCTGTAAAATAACACAGCATATCTGAAAGTACTGAAGAAGTAGTTCATGCCTTATTTTCATATTAACAATCCAAGTCAAATAAACCATCTCATAGTTTTATTTAGAATTTGTGCAGCTCACCCCCTGCGACGTGACAGGGTTTTGCAATGTAACTGAGCTTGATAATGATTTACAAGCTTCCATATGGATACCTAATGTAAACTAAAGAACTAGTTAATGTTCTGCAGTACCCTTTAACTACCCTCTGCTATAAGTCATGTATTTCAGGGCCCTCTTAATGTTTCTTAAATGTTGGCAATTGTTCTTTTCCTTTCAAATCTCGGTTTTACAGACCGCCTGAGGGTTTCATCTCATCACGGCTATATTAGTTCCCTTCATGGTGACTTAAAAACACAGCAGACACTCTTAAGCATTTCGGTTGTGTTTCTGTCCTTTGCACAGCTTAGACTAACACAGATGTAGAAAAATGCCAGTGACCCCTTTTTATAGCGTTAATCATATCAGCATAGGTCGCGCTGGCACAGAAGATGGAAAATCTGCCGCAGTCTGAATCCAGTTGCATTGATTTTGAGCACAGCAAATTGCTTATGAAAAACATACAGCGTGGGTGGTGTGCAGCGGGGGATATATTGTAGCTCTTAAAGAATGGCAGTCAGAATGTTAAGATAGCATCAGCTGTCAAGGTGACTCTGGCACTCTGCTTGTGTTGCCGGCTGGTTCCCAAAAATAGCAGATTTGTATGCCCCTCCCTTTTTCTTTCACACTATCTCTTGCTCTTGTCTTCCTTTTCTTATTTCCTGTGTCTTTATGTTCTTGCAGTTTTTCCTCCTTTTCCACCCCTCTCTTTCTACCTTTCTCTGCCTCACTTCTTCCATATCATTCAAATGTTTCTCCTCATCTGAACTGTGTTTCTTTTCCTACTTAATCCTCCCACTGCATCCTTTCATCCCTCTCATTTCTGCCTGCTTTCACTCCTTGTGCCTCTTTTTCTCCATCTCTCTTTGAACATCTTGAACACTCTTTCTTTAACTTCCTCCTGCATTTCCTGTTTCCTATTTCCTCTCCTCTCAACCTGTCTGTCTTGTGTCTCCTCCAGCAGCAGGATGTCTGAGTTCAGCGTGGAGCCGCGCTTCACCATTGAGCAGATAGATCTGCTGCAGCGGCTGCGTCGCTCCGGCATGAACAAGCAGGAGATCCTGCACGCGCTCGAAACTCTGGACCGGCTGGACCGGGAGCATGGCGACAAGTTTGGCCGCCGCACCTCTTCCTCCTCCTCTTCCTCGTCCTGCTACGGAGTAGGTGGGGCCAACAACTGCACCAACAACTCTGCCTCCAACACTACTACATCACTCAACAATAACAACACTGCCTCTGCAACCACCACCTCTTCCGTGACATGCAACGGCAACACCAGCGGCGAGGGCGATCGCTCCGCCCCCGCCGCGTCTTCCACCACCTCCAAAATCTCCACCGCCACGCAGACGCAGTTCGGCAGCGCAGGGGGGCACTCTCCGTCTCCTAGCAACAGTTACAACACCTCCCCGCCTCCGGGACCACCGCCGCCTTCAGCCATCTTGCCATCACCGGTTTCGCTGGTGGCTCATACGCAGAACGGCAGGGATAGCCTAGCCGCCACACCCAACGGGAAGCTGTCTCCTCCCAGATACCCAGTGAACAGCGCGGCCGCAGCACGAGCATTCGGGTTCGAAGCTACAGAAGAAGACCTGGACATTGACGACAAGGTGGAGGAGCTGATGAGGTGAGTAGAAACGGAGGTGAAGTGGGCACTAAAACTTTGTTTGAGGAACCTTTCTACTCATTGTCCAACTTAAGGTTGTAGAAATAGACAATACATAACAGTAAGTAGGTGATGCAAGACTAATATCATCAGTAGTATTATAGTGACCCCTTTATTTTAAACACATGTTCATGCACACAGTGAAATTGGACCTCTGTATTTAACCCATCCTATTACTAGGAGCAGTGGGAAGCAAGTGTACAGTGCAATGGGGTGGGGCAGGGGTAAAGAACTTTATTTTAAGAACAGCGAATGAATGAATGAAGACATTTCCATAATATCAACACGTTTTACAAAGTCATCTTGTGGGTACAAAACACTAGAGGTGCTTCAAATGTAAAGCTATTATTCATTGTCTTTCATTCATGCATTTCCAATTGAATCAACTTTCGTTAAATTGTCTACTTTTCTTTGGATTGGAGATTCCTCTTCAATGGCACAAATACCATTAACTATGAGGCGGGAAAGCACACTTAGTCAGGATGAATTAGATCGCACCAACTGGAGTTAGCTGAAACTCCATTGTGTGCAGCTGCCATACATGTTCAGAAAAACTGAGGTTTTAGGGTTCATTCCTGGCCTCGAAAACAGCTGTTGATTTAGTTCTGGAGCTTTTCATCCTATCACATGATCTTTAAATGTACCCATTTGTCTTTTTTTCCCCCGAGTTTTATAAGAGTATATTTTCTGATTTCTTTTTTTTTCTGGCATAATATCTGATGTCAAAGTTTATTCTTGACATTGGAAATGGACCAGTATACTGGTGTGGAAAAGAAACCATCATTCATCTTATAGGGTTATTGGAGCGGTGTCTAATGTTAAAGTTGCGGGTCCAGTGAGGGCACAGCTGCTGGTGGGATTTGAGACAACACTAGTGAAAAACCAACACTGTGCATGTGTTCACAGTGCACGACATGGCAGTGCTCTAATAAGAGTATCAGAATAGAGACAGCACTAGGTTGGTACTTAGATTGCCCTTTACACGTGCAGTGTGAACCACAACACCTTGACATGAAAGGTGCAAAATATAAACCAAAATGTTCTCTACGAATGGATCAGTTGTTTGCCGTTGACATGTATGTACATCCTGTATCAAAATAACAAAGACGGTCATAAAGACGTTCTTGTTGAGATAATCCATAATTATCCTATGGCATGAGAAGGGAGGTGTTCTGTGCTGAACCTTTTGAAAAGCCTTCAGGGTGACATTTCGTGAGAAGGAGAGAAGAGAAGCTTTCACAATGGTGCACCTCTAGATACATTACATGAAATCACATACAGTAACATAAAGAAACGTAAAGATTGAAAACCCCTGCTCAGTAAGTTAGAGCCTCTTTTGTTGAAGAAAACTTCACTCAAGTTTCAAATTGAAGAAGGTTACATTGTGCATGTAACCTAAAGGCTACAGTACAAAACAGTGGTTGTGATGAGCGTATTGTGTTCCCATCGAAGTGAAAAGACTTGTTGTTTTTATATAATAACACATCAAGTAATTTCCTTTGGGTGATCTAAGGCAGCGGTTCTCAAACTGTGGTCCGATGGTACTGCAGGTGGTTCGTGAAAACAATACAAATCAATATCAAGGATCTTCGCAGAAAACACCTCATATGCAAACTGTAAAAATAAGTACATATAAACGTAGTGTTAAAACGCAGATATTTGTTATTTTTAATTATGGACAACACTTAATTTCACCACTGGTTACCCATGGTTACGTGTGCAACACCACAAACATGAATCGGTGGCTAGCATCAGGTTCTCTGAAGAGAAAAGAGGTTAACGTTACTTAAGATAATGAGAGTGAGTCGGAGGCATCTCCAAGCCAGATTCCGCAGAGAAAAACAAAGAAAGGGAAGATTAAGAGAAAGTACAATGGGAACTACTTGGAACTGGGATTTGCCTACACAGGCACTGAAGATGAGCCTTTGCCAGTATGCGTTCTGTGCTACGAGACACTGGCTAACGAGAGCCTAAAACCAGCTAATCTTCGCCGTCAATCTTGGAATCTGGCACTACGTTTATATATGTACTTATTTTTACGGTTTGCATATGAGGTGGTCCGAAAATCCTTGATAATAAATAGTGGTCCGCATAAACAAAAAGTTTGAGAACCCCTGCTCTATGGGTTTCCCCTGGAAGGGCTCTCATTGAGGTTTATGGAGTGATGAAATAATGACATCTTTTTGTAGGCCGACGTGGAAGTTAGAATGGCAAGGGCTTCCCCGTCAAAAAGCATTGGTATTATTTTTCCACTGGTTGAAAATATAGCAGAGAAAAAGATGGAAAACAGGCGTTTAGGATAATTGTACAGTTTGGATCATCTCAATATATGAACGCGTTATTATCGCTTCAACGCATTCATTAACGCAGACAATTATTTTATCGCGCATTAACAGTTTTTTGTATTAATCAAATGAACCGAAACAGAAAAAAGTGGCGGGGACAGAAACATGGAGAAAGGTACCGAACATGGACATTTGACATCTCTTCCAGACCAGAGTTATTTGGAACCACTGCAAAGTAGAACTTTTTATAACTTCTATAACAAACTAGATCAAACGTTAATGCCCTGGCAGTGGCAAATGGCTTTGGTTTTATATTTGATTTGATTACATTAATTCATTTCAAGAACTATTTGAACTGCCCCTGTCTAAATGGAATACTGCTGTTAAACAACTATAACGTGTTTCTCTACATCCATTACTGTGGCAGGTCAGTATTTATACTCCATCCCTTTCCACATGTTAGCCACCTCCTCTTCGTCTGAGCACTTTCCACAGGAGCCCCCCCTCTCCTCCTGCTGCTTCCCAGCTGCCCTGAGTGAACAGTATAGGCATGTAGAGCTCCGGCCGTCCCATTGCTAATTCCCTCTGCCTCTGCACCAGATCACATGTCCTGTTTTGACAACAAGAAGTTAAGTAGCTTCCTCTCGGTGTGTAGGCCTCGCTCCGCAGGGCTGCCAGGGCGTGACAGGCGCTTTCGGCTTGTCAACAATCCCACGGTGCCCTTCGGATTTCTTCCCTCTCATCTAAGTGCACATTTCCGTCTCCGCAGGGGTTCGGCCTTTGAGTCGGCATCCAACAACACATCTCCCTCCTGCACTTCCCACTCCTCCTCAGTCTTGTACAGCAGCTCGTGCTACATCGATTCACTTTTGTCGATACAAGCAGTGTTTTCTAAGCTCTAATTTTAGCCGCGCCGCAAGAGGCTGCCGTGGAGGATATTGACGCTGGATGTCAAGAGTCCTGACGCATTTCTCATTTCAGAAATATGCTAGCGGAGCACTCGTGACTTTGATGCCCTTCTCCATTATGACTTCTCTGTGGGTTCAAAGGATGCTGTGATTGTACGGTTCAAGCACCAGTGATATTTAAGTTAGTGGGGGTGGGAGTTTGGTAAAAGTATGCACTATATAAGTGTGGATAAATATGCACCGACTAGTGTACACATTTGACTGGTGTTCAAAATCTGTACCACGATTAAGCCGAGGCAGTGATAAGCTGGTGGGTGTGTATGTAAGTCGACGTTATTGTGTGTGCACAGAGGAGGGGATTGGGCTGGAAGCCAGAAAGCAGGGTGGGTACACTGTGTGACTGCACATGTTCCCTCACCACCCTCCACTCCTGCATGTCTGTGCATGTTTTATTTTCGCCCCGCTGAGGACTGAGACATTGGAAAATGTATTTCACTCCATTTTGTCTCAATGAATTGAAATTCATGCCTTTTGTGTTCCTCTGAAATGCATCGTTGATTTAATGTGGGAGCCATAATAGAAGAGAACAATACGTGGATAATCAAAATGCACCTTAGATTCAAATGGTTTTGTCCTATTTAATATGGCATAATGCTGCTGGCACAATACAGAAACATTTGATTATTGAAATGTAAAGTTTTATTAAAAAACACTTCAATTTCGTCGAAAGCACACAGGAGCCATTTGGGCTAAAGTATCCTGCTCAAGGACACGTCGACATGTACAGGGACTGGGGATCAAACCACCCTCCCTACGATATGTAGACAACCATATAACCCCTGAAAGCATGACAATCTATTTAATATCAGTCTTCCAATCTGGTTTTAACCTTCCCTTACTAAATGTGGGGGTCTTTTAAATGCTGTGTGATCTTTTCCTATGTCAAATACCTGTGTGTGTGTGTGTGTGTGTGTGTGTGTGTGTGTGTGTGTGTGTGTGTGTGTGTGTGTGTGTGTGTGTGTGTGTAGGAGGGACAGCAGCATGGTGAAGGAGGAGATCAAAGCGTTCCTGGGGAACAGGAGGATCTCTCAGGCAGTGGTGGCACAAGTTACCGGTTAGTAGCAACAACGACACACTACACTGTCGTTCATTTGAATTGTTTTTGTTGTAAACATACTCACATTTTGTCCATTGTGCACATTTGTTGCTTGTTCAATGTGGGTCCTCCAGTTAAAATGTAGACTTTCTTTGTTAAGTTGTCAAATAAATCGTATTGTACAGGGAAAAGTAATAACATTTCAAATATGGTTTGAGTTGAAATGATTCCCTTCCTCTTTTCATTGCGTTACTACGGACGTATTTATGAAAGCTCATTTTCTCAATTTTGTAATAATGTGGAAGCTTCTGTGTTTACTTAACATCTTGAGATTTGCATAGTTTGTCTAATATAAATGTGGTCATTTTGCCCCCCTGTGAAGTTGGGCTGCTCCATTATGGCACAAATCATAATCTCGATTATTTGGGTCAATAATTGATATCACGATTATTAAAAACGATTATCCATTTACTTTGAAAACATCCATTTATTGAAGAAATACATTGAACAGTATCTTTAGCAGTTGATTACCCTGAACTTTAAGTATAATTCAACTGAAAAACCTATACAAAAAAGAAGCTACTTTTATGGTTAAATATCTTCAGACATAACTCCTAGAGGCATGACATGTGGCACACAGACATAATGGCAAACATGACATCCGAATGATTGAAAGGCAAAAGCAGATGCTTTAATGACTAGCCCTTGGAAAATGGGAAAAATGCAATATTTGGTTCTCTTGGGCCCACTGGTAGCCCCACTTTTCCATATTTTCAGCTAAAATCACTTTATTTGATTGATGTTGTATCAAATTTAAGTGTAAAACAGAATCCAATATATGGCAAGTATGACTGACCAAGGTTCAATTTGTTGCCTGTTTTAATGCCAAAATGACTCCTTCCTTGAACCATGAATGAGTGTAAATTCACAAGTTCTTTCCAAGTTGTCTTCATTTTTAAATGTAACTATAGATTGAGGCTTATGCTTGTTTCTGGGCTTGAAAATAGGTGCAAAAATATAGTTTGACACCTTTGCAAACCAACTGGACATGAGTCAAATCCTAATATCCACTTCAAAAAATCTTCAAGGAAGCATTAGAAAGAGTTGAAGTGTCCAGACAGGCGACAGGAGTAAGAATAAACTTACAACCCCCCCCCCAGTATTCCCTTCTGTCTCTGTTGAATTCTTTAAGAACAAACAAACTGTGCCGAAGGCTCGATGCAAAGCACTGTTGTAATTCGATGTCTGGCTGCTTTCCAGGCATCAGCCAGAGCAGGATCTCCCATTGGCTGCTGCAGCACGGCTCCGACCTGAGCGAGCAGAAGAAGAGGGCCTTCTACCGCTGGTACACGCTGGAGAAAACCACTCCAGGTACACCAGAGTCTGTGAACCTGCACCGCTCACTCCTGACTGTGTTGGTTTGGCTCACTGAAGGAATGTGCTTTCAGATGAGACGGAGGGAGAGGCATGCAGGAGGTGTTAGGACACAAACGGATACATAGAATCAAAAGGTAGAATTGACAATAGAGCTGTGCAGGAATGAGTTAGCATCTTACCACTTCCAGTTCAAGTCAATGGTTTTTCAAAAAACCTGAATTATCACAGTCCGAATCAGGTTTATGGCCAAGTAGGTTTACACATATAAGGACTTTGCTTTGTAATGGTCACAGTAGGGTTAATGAACACAGTAACAGGAATTAAGTTCAAATATAGAACTATGATAACAAATATTTAACCAGTGGGCAAAAAGTCTGTCAAGTGATTTCAAAAAACAATTGTATAATACAAATGCTCCCTTTTGATATTGTATTCACTGCTTGTGCCATGTGCTCCTATAATGTACAGTTTTTAGTTAGTTAGGCTTTTCTTAGTAAATATTAATATATGTGATTGATTCATATTATTTATAACAAAGCATGCCATCCCTACTTTTGTATCTATCTGTCAACAAATCTGAGTTCACATGTACAGGGAACAAATGTAACTTTAGTTTTGTCTTGAAGGAGTTCTAATGTTGGCTTTGCTTCAGTTGAGAAGGACACACAGTCACAGATACATCCACACCTCTCTGAATGGTTAACACCCAGAACACCAGGCCTCATGCAGCCTTCAGTTGTGCCTGTACATATGTATGCTCTGTTTCAGCCTATAGCAGACAGCAGACATCCCACGCCTCGTCCTCTGCGGCACGCTCCTCATGGAGCCCTGCCAACAGCACAGTGGAAACTGCTTCCTGCTATTTCTGTCCAGACGGAGCCCAGCCCAACACACACACACACACACACACACACACACACACACACACACACACACACACACACACACACACACACACACACACACACACCGCGCGCACGCTCCATCACCGCTGCAGAGATAGTGATGTCCCGCTCATCCTGGTCTGATAACCCGCCCTGTTGCTGGGCGACCCAGTTAGGACTGGTTCACAATGTGTGTGCCAGATGAGGCTATGATACTGAGGCATACGGTTAGCAAGAACGTGGCGTATTTAATGAGTTTTACTGCAAATTAAACCTTTTGTGATTCTTTTCTTTTTCTGCTGTGCTCATGATTTGGGACGAGGCAGCGCGGTCTTTGTCAGCACTATCCACTCCAGTTTATAATCAGAATGTAATGTATTGTAAGATTTGCAAAAGTGCTTTGTCACATGCATTTTCTTAAAAGGATGTGCTGCAGTTCATCTGTAAAAGCCGCCAATTCACACATTATTATTATTCCCAGACTTCAAGTGGCAAAAACACACCACAGACTTCATGTTCCTGGGGCTGATTGTGGAGGAACTCTTGTAACACACCCCCCCCCCCCCCCACAGGTGCCACTCTGAACATGCGGCCTGCTCCCTTACCTCTGGAGGATATGGAGTGGAGGCAGACCCCACCCCCCATCAGCACAGCCCCCGGAACCTTCCGCCTGCGCAGAGGAAGCCGCTTCACCTGGAGGAAAGAGTGCCTGGCCGTGATGGAGAGGTGAGCGCAGGAAGAAGTAGATGAAAGATTACATTCATAACTTCTCCTTATTTCCACATGGAGTTGAGGAAATATTGCAACCTGTGCAAGGAAACGTCTAGACAACCAGCGTGTGACTCTTCATACTCTCAGCTTTGGCGAGCTTCTACAGCATACATAAATCCAGTTCGTTGACATCGTCCTTGTGTCAGGAAATTAATTGAATCAGTGCGTCTCTGTCTATTTATAGCTACTTCAACGACAACCAGTACCCGGATGAGGCCAAGCGGGAGGAGATAGCAAACGCCTGCAATGCTGTTATTCAGAAGCCAGGTAAAGCTCCATAACAGCTGTGTGAATAGTATATTAGTCTTTTCTTTGTTTCATGTTTACTCCACTCAGAGATGTTTGCAAAAAATCCTATTTACGTTAGTATAATGAGAATATTGTTTATTCTATTTGCTGGTGACAAATATTCCTATTCGTTTTGCAAATGTTTGGAATATTACCATGGGAATAGTCCCTAACAACCTTTGTATCCTGTCAGCCATGCATATTTATATTTATACATTTCATTTGTTAGAAATACACAAGTGTTTTTGGAAAAATGCTCATTTGTCCCTGTTGCATTTCACCAAAAGTAAATTGTAAGTGCTCTCTTAAGACCACATCATTTTGCATATTATCTTTCTTGGACTCTGTGTATTTTAAAGCCAAAACATCTGTGTTGCATGTATTGTGTGATATCAAATGGCAACAAGTGATTTTCTTTTAATGGATATAAAACCCTCATTGGGTATGAAACATCCAATTGATATAAGCAGAAATAAAAGTGGTATTCACAGCTTGAGGGACAAGATGGATAACAACAGGGCCCAAAGAATAGTGTAACAAAGTGATCCGAGTGTCCTGTGGTCTGTTTCAGGGAAGAAGCTGTCTGATCTGGAGAGGGTCACCTCCCTGAAAGTTTACAACTGGTTCGCCAACCGCCGCAAAGAGATCAAGAGGCGGGCCAACATTGGTAATGTGACTGGGGGGGGTGGGGGTGTTAGATGGGGGCTCATAATTCTTTCATTTAGTCACTTTAAAGAGCTCAATGTTTGTTCATCAGTCACCTAATATCTGTAATGACTTTTGCTTCATTTCTGTTTTTGCTTACGGCCTGCATTAACATTGATGTATTTTGGACTTGTTAAAGTTATTAACCTGCTAGTCCAATGACAATTCATCCATAACTTACATAATAATACTAACATTTTGACCACTTTTTGCTTAATATTATCACCATTTATCCATATATATTTATGTATCCAAACCATTTTTCCTTTACTTTTAGCTTTCAATTTGAACCCTCCAGAAAAACGCGTGCAAAAATCCTTGATTATGCGATCAAACATGCGCATTTATGTGATGAAATTTCGGGAAGTTGCGAAATATGCGGACAAAATAAATATTGGGCCGTCTTATTTATTCTCTCTCACACACAACCTGCCACTAACGTTAAACCCCTTTACTATTCAATTAAACACATTCAATGTTTATTTATTGTAAAAGCAATTGGGCTATTTTAATCTCTCTCTCTCTCTCTCGCTCTCGCTCTCGCTCTCTCTCTCTCTCACACATATATATATATATTCATATATATATATATATATATTTACTCGTTCGTTATCTGACCAGCTTCAATCTTGTAGGCTACTCACCTCGTTTCTTGTAGCCCTCGAAAGGGGTTTGGAGGTTGATGCCTCAGTGAACGTGAGTTGTTTGGCTTTCTTGTCCGCAGCAGCAGAAAGCATGTTCGAATGTTTGAATGAATCAAAGTGGGTCGTCACCGTCGATGTTCTCTTATGCTCCAACACACAGTTGCACGGGTGCAGAATAGTTCCCCCCCACTTTCGTGCAAGACATCGGGGTACTGCTTTGCCCGGTCTTTAGCAGAAATGTTCGTCGGTAAATGAGATGGATTAGATGTTTTCATCTTGGTGTTTTCTCTCTCGTGTGAGCTCCACACGTTCACTCTACGGTGTTGTTTACCTTCTGTGATGCGCGAGCTGATGACGTCGCATCATCATCATCACTTCACGTCAAGACGAGTTAACTTTTTTTTTTCTCAACTTTGTGTGGAAAAATGCGGGGATTATGCGGCTTTTTGATAAATATGCGGCCTTTTAAAAATCTGCGCCATTTTGCTGATTATGCGGTAAATTCTGCGATCGCAGAATCGCGTTTTTCTGGAGGGTCTAGTTACCTATTTATTGGAACTACTTTTCATGCATGTGGGAGGGAAACTCCTTCTGGAGGGATTTTAGCCCCTGCAGACCATTTACATGCACACTAACCTAAATACCACACTACTAAGGGAAAACCCCCCAAAGCGCAATAGGGCTTCTTTAAATATATATTCAAAGTAATAGAGATTGAGTGTATGGCAGCGCTGTTCTATTGAATAACTATAGATTTGACACTTTTAGCATTTAGATACTCCACAATCCAACCATGTACCCCCGGTTGGGAAGTCAAAGTAGAATAATCTAAATCTATATATTTGTAATGAAGGATACTTTCAGTGATCAATCATAAGTCTAACAATTCATCCTCTTCCTCCAAGAAGCCACAATCCTGGAGAGTCATGGAATAGACGTCCAGAGTCCGGGGGGGCACTCCAACAGCGACGACGTCGACGGAAACGACTTATCAGAGCAGGTAGAGCGTGATGATGGATCCCCAAAGACGCATACAACCAGATTTATGATCCAGACAGTAGTTAACAACTGATTCAAGAGAAAGAGGTCACTTGTTTTACAGCTCCATCGTGTCATTTTTTGTTGTACAAAGTCTGATTATTCCTTATTCATTTATATATGTATTCCTCTGTTTTGATGGATTTGCCACTTGCTAACCGCTAGTGATCATTCATTCCGTCATTAGTTATACGTGATCATGCATTTCACATCTTTATACCGGTAACTTAGCTGATTAGTTGCCCTGTCTTTGGTTGAAGTTGTTTTTAATATGTAAAGGTTGTCTGGATCCTGTTCTCAAATTCTTAAAACTTAAAAAACAATGTAACTGCAGTTTTTCTATGTTTAAACTCCCCGAAATATAAAAAGCACTTTTATTTTTGTGAGGAATTATAGCTTAAAATGGTTGGCCCAAGGCATATTAATTAACACAAGCTTGCCCTTCTTCTCATTTTTCTATGGTATCCATTTGAGAACAACGTCATTCAGAATATTACGAATGTTTCCTCTAATGAACTTGGGTTTGTAAGATCTAAACCGAGCTAAATTTGTTCTTTTTTTTTAAATTTCCCTCCAGGCATTTGACCTGCCCTATTTTGACAAGAGACCTCTCAGCCGACCTTTTGGCCTTTACCGCCTGGAGCCCACCTCGCCAACACAGGTACCTCCAAAACAATCTGGTTCTCTTTAACCTGCGTACATTTAGAGTGAAGGGACGAGACAATCCTTGGTTTTCTGCTGAATTATCTATTCTCCTTCATGAGAGAAACAAGGCCTGGGCAAAGGCTAGGAATTCAGGCTCAGAGGTAGAATGGCTGCGTTTTAGGCAGCTAAGAAATAGCTTCACTTCACATGTCAAAAGTGCTAAATCTAAGTATTATCTGTCAGTTACCACAAAGAACCTGAACAACCCTAGAAAATTCTGGAAAGCCATAAAATCGATATCCACCGGTGATATCCGTAATGAGCTACCTCCGTGCCTTACCACAGTATCTGGCACTATATCGGACAGGGCCACCATACTAAATTGTTTTAATGAGCATTTTGTGTCCTGTGGCTCTCTGTTTCATTCTGTTTCTAATTCTGCTTCTGTGAACACCACAGTCGGTGACTCAGAACAATGTGGTCTGGAAAACCCCTTCAGTTTTACTCCTTTTACTGTTGATGTTGTTCTTGAAGTCTTAACCAAGCTAGATCCTAAAAAGCCGGCTGGTCCGGACAACGTAGAACCTTTCTTTTTAAAGATAGCTGCAGATTTTATTGCTCCACCTCTTACTACTCTTTTTAACCTCTCCCTCAGCACGAACAAAATCCCAAAAGTATGGAAGTCAGCATATGTCCTGCCACTACTAAAAGGAGGGGAGGCCACCTTATTAAACAATTATAGACCCATCTCTAAATTGTCAGTTCTGGCTAAGGTTCTTGAACGCTTAGTGAGTGAACAGGTAAAGGTGTTTTTATGTAACAATGACATCCTGTCTAAACATCAGTCAGGCTTCAGAAAGCAACACAGCACCATCACTGCCACAATGAAAGTGGTGAATGATATTACGAGTATTTTAGATAATAAGCAGAGCTGTGCAGCTCTATTTATTGACCTGTCCAAAACGTTTGATACCGTCGATCATCGCATTTTAAAGCAGAGGCTAGCCAGTATCGGCATATCCAGCCATGCAGTGGGGTGGTTTGTAAAACTACCTCTCTGAAAGGTCCCAATGTGTTCAGTTTGATGGGCTGTCTTCTGAGTGGTTAAACATTGCAAATGGTGTACCACAAGGTTCTGTTTTAGGTCCGCTATTATTCTCTATCTATATTAATAGTTTAGGTGAAAATGTGGATGAAGCTACTTTACATTTTTATGCGGACGATACCGTGATGTACTGTGCAGGTCCCTCCATTAAGGAGGCTGGTGTTAAATTACAGGCTGTTTTTAACATTATTCAGACTCAGCTCTCTGAACTTAAGCTTCTTTTAAATGTGGATAAAACCAAGGTAATGCTCTTTTCTAAAGCTAAAGCTAAAAATACACCAGAGACTGCTTTGGATATTGTAACTACGCAAGGAATAAAACTTGAAGTGGTTACCTGTTACAAATACCTAGGTATCTGGCTTGATGATTGTCTCACTTTTAAACTCCATGTCAATAACCTGCTTAAAAAGCTGAGGGTTAGGCTAGGTTTCTTTTACAGGAACAAGTCCTGTTTCTCGCTTGAGGCCAGGAAAAGGCTAGTCACTGTGACCTTTTTACCTGTGCTGGATTATGGTGATTTGTTATATATGAATGCACCTGCCAATTACCTGAGCAAGTTAGATGCTGCGTATCACAGTGCACTGAGATTTTTGATAAATTGTAAAGCACTTACGCATCACTGTACCCTGTATGCCAAGGCGGTTATGCCATCACTTACTGTACGGAGGCTCAGTCACTGGTACTTTTTCATTTACAAAGCCATGTTGGATAAACTACCATCTTATATCTGCTCCCTGATCTCTCTGCGAATTGAAAGTACTTATTGCCTGAGATCGCATGCTGTGGTTTTATTAAATGTGCCAAGTGCTAGGACTGTCTTAGGGAAGAAAGCTTTTAGATGTGCAGCTCCACTAACATGGAACAGTCTGCAAAAAGAATGGAAAATTACCAAGCTAGTACCACTACATGTTTTTAAAGCTTGGTTGGATGCTACAAAATCAGATGCTGTTGGTACCTGTACTTGTGGTTAAATATGTAAATTGCAATCCCTGTACATTTTGCTGTATGTCCTTTTGTTGTTCTGTTGTTTATGTTTTTATGTCTTCTTGTGGAACCTACTGCTGCAGGTCTCCCTTGAAAAAGAGATCATTGATCTCAATGGGATTTTACCAGGATAAATAAAGGTTTTGAATTGAATTGAACCTTGGTTTATATGTTTTCAGTTTGATCTGCTATGCTAACCTCTTTTGATTAGCATTTTAGAAATGATGCTGAATATCCTAGTGACGGCAGTAATAGGGAGCACTGCTCTCAAGTGTATTCCAAAAAGAGGGTGGGGGAAACTCACAGTCAAATCACACAGAGGGTTAGAGCTGTCCCTCTCCCACAATTCGTCTCTGATTTTCTTTAAAGGCCTGACATGCCCAGTTACAGTTGCTAAGCTGCACTTTGGGGGAGGGACTTAGTAGAGAACAGTTGGTCAGGAAAATGAGTTTTATGTACAAAAGTATAATTCCTGCTTTCTGTTCAATCTGTTCACCACTGACCAACTTGGTCTTACTGTCCCCCCCCCCCCCCCTCCCGTATCAGGAGGACGGCGCGGCGCACATCGAGCACCAGGACCCCATCTCTCTGGCTGTGGAGATGGCTGCTGTCAACCACACCATCCTGGCCCTGTCCAGAACCGGGGGGGTCCCAAACGACATTAAGACGGAGTCCCTGGAGGACGAATGAACTGCACAGGAAACGGAACGGAGGAAGTGGAAGAGAAATGACAGTCAAAGAAAGGAGGAGAAAAAACAGGGAGATAAAAAAAGAAAAATACCAAAATAATGCTACTTAGTAAATCTGGATCTGTCCCTCCCTCTCAGCTTCCCACCTCCAACAAAGTCAGTGTAAACAGTAATCCCCCCCTCCCTACCCCATATATTGACACAGCTGGTGAGAATGGGTCTCTTAAAGTGTTCCACGGAAAGAAGATAAAGGGGGGTCCCAGGTCTTCAACCCCTAAATCGGAGGCCCTCGTCTGGGATTGTACCTCCCTCCCCCCCCTCACAGGATACCTCTCCTCTTTACTCCCCCGTGCTTCCCTCTCCAGCCTGGTCGTCTGAGCCGATCCTCACTCTATATCACCTCAGCGTCAACCTCAAGAAAAAAAAAATGGTGTACTCTATATATATAATATATATGGTTCTCAGTCACACTCTACCTACCTGCGTAACCTTCAAATGATCCTCTTCATTGTGCAGTTCATCGGAAGAGTGACCTCCAGCAGCTGTCTGGGGAAAGATGGAGGGTGAGTTTCCTCCCCCCCTCTGGAAGGATAATCAGAAGCAGACAGTCGCCGTCTTATATCCTCATTTCTTAGTGGAGTGGCTTTTTACATGAGCTGCTGTTGGATGAAAACCTCTAAAAAGAAGTAGCCTTATTTTCATACAGGAAACTACACCTTTACTTTTTGCAGTATACACCTCGTTTTTTTCCTGAAACTTTTTAGTATGCATACAAAGTGGTTTCTCTCACCTGCATTTATTTGGCGACAGGATCTACAATCATTTAGCCTCCCAGTGACACTACTGTTCAGTACTCGAGGCTATGATCATTATTTTAGGGTCAATGTGATAATCAAGCAATGGTAAGCTATCTAATAAGGGGAACTGTGCTTTGTTTTCATCCATGCCAAAGGAAAAGATGCTTGGAGCTAAAAGCTTAAGCTACTGTAAGACCGATCTAAAATGGTGTTCATCCAAAGCGATTTTCTGCTAACTCCTCTGGCGTACGTTGGTTGTTTCATAGCTCGGTGAAGCCTCTGGAGCTAGCGCTACGTGGTTCTGACACTACAGCAGGCCTGTGTCGGGAAAGAAAGGTATTAGCAGCCACACATAATGATAAAATACCCCTAAGCTATTTACTACTTGTTCTGTGAAGCTGCCTCTTTATTATAGCAGAAAGAATGTGCTTTCAGAGGATTTTTTTAAAATATCCAATTAGACTAAATCCTCACTGGAAATGGTTTAGAATATCAGAAGAGGCCATTTAAGTTTGTATTTAAAGGTAGGGTAGGTAAGAATGGAGAAACCAGCTCGAGTGCGCTAGAATTTGAAAGTACACAGCTGAAAAAAATCTGCCCCTTCCTTCAGACTTCCTTACTGAGCCCCTCCTCCAACACACACGAACGCGCACATGACCAATGAGGGCACGAGATAAGTTTGTGCACAGATGGAAGGCTGACAGGCAGGTAGGCCATCCAATCATCTGCCCCAAATAATTGGATGTGCTTTTTACAGCGCCACAGCTTCCACAGATGAAATATTTGTATGTATTTATTGTCAAAGCATTTAATGTATTCATTGCTATCGGGATGTGAAGAGCATTCTATGGAATATAACAAAGTGTTTCTGAAGTGAATTACCTACCCTACCTTTTTAGGATATAGCCTCAAAGGCAAAAGCACCACTTCAAGGGAAGAGAATCAAAGATGTATAAAGTGGTTGTATTGGAAATACATTTTCCACTTTTTTGCTCCGGGTTGAAGTTTTCCAAAACCATCAATGAACCAAGATAATCATAATGTAATAAGCAGAGACAAAATGTTGACTTTCTTAAGGCTAATGTTTCTTGGTGCTCACTTAATGTCAAGTCAAAGACTGATATCTGATGAAATGAAACAATTAAAATAATACGTTGAGCAGAATTAAATGTGAGGATTGATACTGCCCTCATGTCTGTACACTAAACATGAAACTGAAGCCAGTAGACCGTTAGCTTAGCCTATCATGAAGGCTGCTCAAATGTGCTATAGCTAGCAGTCTTCATGCTAGGATAAGCTAAAGTTCACTGCTAGGCTAGGCTAAAGCTCATGATTTCACCCAATTGATTTTGTCTTACTAAAGCCATACAAAAATATAAGTCAAAACCAGTTGTAGTGTTACAGATGGGTACACACGGACAACTTTTTATACTTTTACTGGAGATATAACGAGTGTTTAAAGAAAGATATGGTCACTTTTGAAGAGAGCCAAGTTAGCCAGTTTCTTTGCTAGACTAAGCTAATTTATCTAAAGATAGATTAGCTTTCTTTATTTAGCGTCATATTTAGCGTACAGCCGAGAGTGCTCCTTTGTTTCTGCTATCGCCCAGCCAGTTTTTAACAAGGTAAATGTCAATCTGTTTGTTTAAAGGAACCCATGCCTTAGTGATGGTTTTGGAGAACTGGGGAAATATTCTACTTTGCGGGATTAAACTAAGCAGTTAGCTAGTTATACGCTCATGTAATATTATGTTTAAATCAAATATGGACATCTCTTTTAAATAATCTAGTATCTGGATCCTGCTTGTAGAATATCTCCCAGCCCTGGGCTGTAGTCTAGTAAAGCTCTATTTAAATTATCGCTTCTCTATGTACGAAGCAGCGATTACAGTGACTTGGTACTAGGAACTGTGTTTCAAAAAGAAAGGGTTGAAAGACAAACACAATATGTATTTATACTCATTTTTTATGGTAATGTGAAAAAGAACGACATGTTTTAAATTGAAACATGCTGATATTGTTAAGCTCATCATGCATTTTAATTTCTCCTGAATGTTTTCCATAATCATTTAAATGTTGTTTTATTTTGTATCATCCCTTATTTGACTGAACAACAGTCTCCCTGTTTGTGTCTGAGCTAGTAAGCTATTTTGTGAAAGATGACAAACGATGCACCTTATTTAAAAAAAGAATCGCCGTTAATGAAAGTTCAAATGTAACCTTCCCTTCCATGAGCCTTCCTTTTAAAATGTCCGATACATTAATATGGGGCTGTTGTGAAAAACATTTCTTTACAGCTGCTCCACACCTTGTACTAAATCACAGTTTGTGCTGTCTTCACTTGAAATCAACGCCACACCAAACTCCATTGGGAAATGTAGTGTTTTAATCTTTCTCTGGCAAAGTGTGATTAATACAAATTAATTAGAGAAATAAATACATTTCAAATGTATGTTTTAGGTTATCCAAAACGTTTATGAAATGTGCTTCCTATAACTAAATTGCGTTGCCCTCACCATTTCACATAGAGCGTTATCATTGAGACATGACCATGTTGTCGCAGGCGATTGGGATTGCATAAACGCTAAATGGGCAGTACAATATAGGTTTGTACACAACGCACTACAAATAAATATGTCCTGTAGATCTAAGTGATACTCAAACTAACGGTGAAACGGTTGTTCGAAAAATCAAAGGACAGGCTTACAGATATTGCTTCCCTTTTTTTTCATGAAATAATACAAGAAAACTGTGTTTGAGTTATGCGATTCAGCAAAATGTGTTCCAAATATTTGGAATCACTACCAAAAACTAGATTTTGACTAGAAAAGTGCACAAAGTACAGTATGCTGGGTGTGTCTATGCTCGACCACTGCTGTCATTTATTGCTAGATTGAATACAAACCACAATTGTCTTAACTTGAAACTCTGGACAAGAACTGTCCCTAATTCCTAGATCAATATTCTAAACTGAAGCAGTTGTTGATCGATTGCAAACCTCTAAGAGGAGTCAATGATGGCCCATAAAGTACAGTTCTCAAAGATGGTTAAGTCCTTTAACTTAAAGAGGTCATTGAATATATGTAGTCATAAATTAGCACAAAATATGAGGCTGATGGCTACAGTAGCATGCGAGATTAGCTGCAGAAAGTCATACAAACACCCGAATGGTAAAGCCTGCAGATAGTAGGTAAGCTGGTACTGTATCTGGACTCTTTAATTAACCTTTTTCTCTATGGAGTTTGGTGTGACACTCTCCCCATATGAATAATATTGAGTGTCTGAAATAAGTTGTGTGTGGAAGGAAAAGACTACAGAGTGCATTTAGAGATTATTCTCTCACTATAAGACGCTTTTCAATGAGTTGCCTTAGTGTTTGAGATGCCATGGCCTAATTAGCGAGTACAAGTTGTAATCCATCAGTATTTTATGTTCAAGCCTGACAGAAATGTTTATGGGACGGAAGAAAGAACCCTCAGGTGCTTAGGAAGATTGTGCTTTTCCACGAGAAAATGGAAGCAGATGAATCTTTAATTACATACTGAAATCTGAAAGGGGCTTTCCCCAACCCAATGTCCTGTGTTCTCCGGTGGTAGTGCTTTTACTTTGAAAGGGTCTCCTCATGGTGTCGGGGTCAACACGTCTACATGTCCCTCTGTGTTCCCAGTGAAACACCACCCACCTCATCCCAGTAGAGCTCTGCTAAGAGGACTGAATGCTGTTGTATCAAGCTCAAATCTAGTTATGTTCAGAATTACTGTATTGCCCATTTCAGAATTTAGTGCCTTTTTTGGACAGTAGACTGTTCTGTAATTAAGATGTAGTATATATACATTTTTTTGTACAGTTTCTTTGTTCATTTTTTTAACTTGTGTTTATTTTAGTATGATATATATATAATGTACAAGAGAATAAAGCTATATCAATGAGACTTTCTATGTGTTGCTATCTGATTAGGTACAATAGGTTCATCACACATTGGTTGATAAGGGCAGAATTAAGTTTATTCAACAATATAAAAGTCGATTTTGCTTTTAGCATCAATTGTATGTCTTCATTTTTAAATAAATAATCTTTCAGGCATAATATCAAATATTGTACTTACCCAAAACAATTAATACTCTGCGTTCAACAAAATCCCTCAAGTATTCCCATACACACATTGTAATTAAAAACGTACTAGTCTAAAATAAATCCCAAAAAACTGGCACACATCTCTGTTCAAAATGAAGCCACTTTCATTCGATCTTGACACACTTAGAAAAAAAATGATTAACATTGTTGCACATTTTCAGTAGAATTGTTTAAAAGGCAGTGCAAGTATTTTTTGTTCTAAAACAGTAGAAATACACATTCAAGAGCTGTAATAAGCTCTGGTTTGACAGTTTCCAACCTATCAGCACTGGTGATTTAACACTAAGGCACATAGGCATCATAGTAGTCATAATATTTCAAGGCACAAGAATTACAAAAAGAAAAACCAATAGGTATAAAACCATGTGCAACACTTTGAAGTCTATCCAAACATGCAGCTCCATAATTAGTCTTGAACAGTAGAAATGTGAGCACATGAAGAAGTAGTGTTACCTGGAGTCTTACAGTGTACAGTAATCCAGTGAACTTTGGATACATTTAACCATATTTGCAATGCCAGGCATGTGGCAAAACACATGGAATGGAAAACTGTGCTGATTCTGAGCTGGGACTCAAATTAATCCATTCAGGTGAGACAGCCATGATTATAATTGCATAGAAAAGGTTGTTACTGGAATCTACATACCTAAAAACATTCAAATTGTCTGATAAAATATATCCATTAAACCATAATACAAGTCCATTGGCTAGGATAGTCTTTCAATAGATGAACCATTACAATCTGATGAGGGGTCACATGCCTACACTTAAACAACCATCTGCTGCATGTGGGGGTCCAGCATCGAGCCGTTTGGCAGGTTTAGAACCTCCTAAGTGTTCCACGACTTGCGGTTCTCTCCCCTGCTGCGGCCGGCTGATGCCACCCCCCCTTCACCTTTAGCCAACGCGGTGAGGGCTGCCAGGTTTGGGCTGGATCCGGACAGGTTAGCACTGCAGCGTTTCTGCTGTTGGCGGCGGCGCTTGCCGGCACCCCGGCTGACCCTGTGCGGCCGAACCAGCACGCCGTAACCAGGGTTACAGTGGAAGTAGTGTTTGCCGCCCACTGAACCATCATTTTTTCCTGGAGAAAAAGAGAAAAAGGCTTGTTGAGGATTCTAAGTGGTGATTGTGGCTATTTCAACTTCATGTTATGGAACGGCTCTACCGATTTCGTTTTGGCTTTCCAATAGCAAAAGTTGTCAATAGTAACCGTTACTTTATTTGTATCACCTTGGTTGAGACTCCAAAAGTTCTGACAAGATAATGGAGAGTTAAATTCTGCAAATTGATCAAGAGGTTCCTAGCACAAAACACTAGAAAACCGGCATTTTTAAATAGCCAATATACCATCAATATCGGCCTTATTTTTTTTGTATTCACCTAATCGAGACTAAAAACATGGCCGCCGGCGAACTACGCAAAGCAAAGTGCGAGCATACACTTCAGCATAGTCAGCTGATCATTTCCACTATACCAGTGGTTCTCAAACTTTTTCTGTCAGGCCCCCCCTTTGGAGAAAAAAAAAAGTCGGGCCCCCCCAACATAAATAGTCAGGCTCAGTGGCGGCGCCAGAGATTTATTTTGGGGGTGCTGTGGGGTAGCTTGACGTTTCATAGAGGGTGCTCAAACATTTAGGGTTTCCCATTAAGGTACCGGTCGCTACAGTGGAATTTTCTACTGCAACAATCCCCACGCATATACACAACGTACCCACGACTGTTACAATGAAGGCTCGATAATCAGCTCTCGGCATATAGGTGTAAGCAGGGGTAAAGTGCTATTTTTATAGGTGGTGTGTGTACCTCACATAGGGGGGTCCGGGGGCATGCTCCCCCGGGAAGATTTATTTTTAAATATTGAAGTTAAATGCATCAATCTGGTGCACTTTGAGAGCAAAATGAAGAGATCTATGGATACATCTCTCAACCTCACTCCAGCTGAGAAGAACTATGACGTGGGTAACAGAGAGCTGCTGGCTGTCAAACTTGCCCTAGAGGAGTGGAGGCACTGGCTGGAGGGAGCTGAGCTCCCTTTTATTGTATGGACAGACCACAAAAACTTGGCGTACATCCAATCTGCCAAGCGCCTTAACTCCCGTCAGGCTCGATGGGCCCTGTATTTCGGCCGCTTCTCATTCACCTTCACCTACCGTCCAGGGTCACGGAACCTCAAGCCGGACGCTCTCTCTCGCCAGTTCGCTTCCGAAGGACCAGCTGCCAGTCCAGACACTATCCTGCCTGCCTCCTGCGTGGTGGCGGCTGTTACCTGGGAGATTGAGTCATTGGTCAAGGAGGCTCAGCGGGCGCAGCCTAACCCAGGTAACTGCCCAGCTAATAGTCTTTTTGTGCCTACCCCTGTTCGCTCCAAGGTCCTGCAGTCGTCACACGCCTCCCGTCTCTCGTGTCATCCTGGTGTCCATCGCACACTGGCTCAAGACACCAGGGCCTTTGTTGCTGCCTGTACAGTATGTGCCCCTGCCAAGTCCTCCCACCAGTCTCCCTCTGGCCTGCTTCACCCGCTGCCGGTACCTAGTCGCCCTTGGTCGCATGTGGCCTTGGATTTTGTTACTGGACTTCCACTTTCACAAGGAAATACCATCATCCTAACTATTGTGGACAGATTTTCAAAGATGGTACACTTTGTTGCTCTTCCCAAGCTTCCCACTGCCCGAGAGACTGCAGATCTTTTGGTCAACCATGTTGTTCGACATCGTCTCTGACCGGGGTCCCCGGTTCATTTCCCACGTTTGGAAGGCCTTCTGTCAGGCTCTGGGCGCATCGGTGAGCCTGTCATCTGGCTATCATCCTCAGACGAACGGGCAAACGGAACGGGCCAACCAGGATCTGGGGGCGGCTCTTCGCTGTGTGGCTTTCAGGAACCCTTCGTCATGGTGCCCACATCTGCCATGGATTGAATATGCCCACAACTCCCTGTCAAATGCAGCCACAGGTATTTCACCCTTTCATTGTGCCATGGGTTTCCAACCACCCCTGTTTCCAGCCCAGGAAGAGGAAGTTGCTGTTCCCTCCGTTCAGACCCACCTTCGTCGCAGTCGTAAGCTGTGGAGGGACACCCGAGCCGCCCTGCTCCGCTCCGCCACAGGACCCCGGCCCCCCAACTACTTACCAGGTCAGAGTGTTTGGCTTTCCTCCAAGGATCTCCCAGTCGAAGAAACTCACTCCACGGTATATCGGCCCCTTCATCATCGACTCGGTTATCAATCCATCTGCAGTCAAGCTCAAGCTTCCCCCACACATGAAGGTTCATCCGACATTTCATGTCTCTGTTAAAACCTGTTGCCAGCAGCCCCTTGTCTCCTCCAGTGAGTGTTCCCCCACCCCCCCGCATCATCAATGATCACCCAACCTACACCGTCAGGCGATTGTTGGACGTTCGTCGCCGTGGAAGGGGATTTCAATATCTTGTGGATTAGGAAGGCTATGGTCCAGAGGAGAGGTGTTGGGTTCCCCGGGGAAACATCGTGGGCGCGTCCCTGGTACGGGACTTCCACCGGGATAACCCTGGTAGACCGCCTGGAGGTGTTCCTTAAGGGGGGGGGGGTACTGTGGTGGTTGTACTCTCCAGCCATCTCCCTTGTGTGTGTTTTCCCTTTCCCTGTCTGTGTGGGCGTGGTGGCTGTCACTCCTGGCTCCCGGCTCAACCTCCACCTGCTGCAATCAGTTGGGCACCCTCCTCTACTACACACCTGATTTCCACTAACAGTTAGCTACATAGCTAGGAGTGAGTGAGCGTTCAGACACCGGCGCACACACTCAAATGGACTCGTGTGCCTGACTCTACCAACAGGCTTTCATGATTCTGTTTAGATATGCAAGTATAAGCCATGATAGCTTATTTTATGAACACGCTAATTTGATATGGAAATCAATGGAGGTTGAGTTAACTTTGTAGGAAAACCTACCGTCCATGATGCCCCTGAGCTGTGTTTTACTTGTTAACTTCATATTTTTCATTTCCTAAAACATTATTTTCCTCTCATATTAACAGTGTGGATCATTGAGACAGTGCGGTGTCCAGAGGTCTTATCCCGTTTCCCACTTCCTCTGACTGAGGGGAGAGCTCAGGATATAGAATGAGACAACACAGTTTGTATCAATTGTGTATGAATGCTTCAGCTCTTCAGACCAACATAGTGAGATGTGAGCATGGTCCTAATGGTGTTGGTATGCAGCCTAGGTCTGCTCTGTTTAATAAAGAAAATCTGCCACTTTTATATTGTAGAATTTGTTAAATTAAAGCAGTCTTTAATTGTTTGTCCTAAACATAGCAATATATGCTTTTGAAATTAAATGTCTTTTAAAAAATAACAGTATACAGTAGGGGTGTAACGGTATCCGTATTCGTCCCGTACCGTCACGGTTCGGCACACGCAGTCCACGACGAATACGCCTTTTTTTTACGAGTGGGAAAAAAGTCTGTCATTCAGGGCAGTATCCACTACACTATATATAATCCAGGGGGCGGTATTGCGCCTAAAAGCTGTTTGCCAGCCGCCCTTAAACAACAAATGAAGAACAAGAAGAAACACAACAACAAAACGAACAAAATACAAGAAGAAGAAAAGTTAGTATTGCGATTTCAGATAACACACAGGAGCTAGAACCCACCTGCTTCTTTTAAATCAGCTGTGTGGGAACATTTCGGGTTCCCTGTGGACTACAATAACGATGGAGTGTGCGAGTGGTGGATTGGACGAGGACGGTGTGTCGGCGTTGTTCTACAGTGGTGCGGTATGCTAATGGTAACACACGCCAAACATGCTAAATCATATCAGAAGGCATCACCCAGATTTGCCAATCACCTGAGTCCGGCAAAAGACAACAGCAGTTCAACAGCTGATCCCCGCTGTTTTTAAGAAGCCAAGAGACATGAGAGCCGAGAGACCAAAATAAATAACGGAAGCTTTTGGCATATGTTTTTCAACGACTTTGCGCTCTTGAAACACTTTTATTATTTATGATGTCATATTTTCAAGACATTCTTTTTAGTTTTACAGCTTGATGAAACCTTTCTGTTTGACATCAGCCATTATAGATAATATGGCCATCTGAGTGTGTATGGTTTGTTTTTAACTGTTTAATACAGTTCATTATTCAAAATGAGTTCCTTATTTTTATACTGAATCTTGCACTACTGTTCAAACATAAATAACAACAAACCTGTAATTATGCATTTGGGACTTTTTTTTGCTTTTTCTTGTTGTACCGAACCCGTACCGAACCGTGACCCCCAAACCGAGGTACGAACCGAACCGTGACTTCTGTGAACCGTTACACCCCTAGTATACAGTTTATATTGCGTATCACCTTTAGCTTGAAAATACATAGATGTGTTTGTTTTTTTTATCTATAAAATAAATAGACATACAGACAGACATCAATCCCAAATTGGGGAATTATTTAACAGCAGCAGTGTGTTCAGGTATTACAATATTTTAAGTTGGAATAAAGTATAAACTACACAACACAAGTATAATGCACAGCAATCCATAAGATAAGTCCGATATGTTCATGAAAACTCCCCAGGAGACACCGACACAAACGTGGCCGAGTGGACTCCGGAATTTGCTGCATGAGTTGGACTGTATGATCTGTGGTGTAGTGGGCTGTCACTCAAAAACTGAGTAGCCAATGGGGACACACCCCTGAAAGTCCCCGCCCACCTGGGAGGTTTGTGTCAGAATCTCAATCAAAAAATAAGGGAGCGTAAACGAGAAGAGCTGCAGCGTGAGCAAAAGTCTGATCATTGAGAAAGAAGAAACAAGAACTGAAAACAAAAACCTATGTTAAAACAAAGAAAAAATACTTATAGTTTACATGATTTTTGAAATGTATTTTATTTTGACTCAGTTTTTTTCTTCTTTTAAACTCATAGTTTTGCTTTATTCTGAGAAAGTGTTGCGTTATCTTTATGATACAAAACTAATCCCATAGTTCCACACACACACAGAGCCGAGCTTTAATGAAACACAAAAACCCAGACGTAATAGTACTGTATCATATTATTTTCGAATCAATAATTTTTCAAATTATGATTTTTTTATTTTATTTTTTATAACCATTTTTCCTCCTGGTCTCTCGCACCCCCCCTGGCATGCCTCTGCGCCCCTCCACTTTGAGAACCACTGCACTATACGCAGTGGATAACGAAATAGAGAATCAGACCTGCTACAAAATGTGGTCGACTCAATCTGAGCAATACCAGGCAGTGGAAACACCGCGTATGTATAATACATGTATAGATTTCAATAAGGTCATTTACAATGATCCAGAAAGAAACAAGTTGGGTGCTGTTCTACTCACCTGCCGGTACCTCCAGTTCCACTCCCACCCAGGTTCCCACTGCGAAATCTGTGGGTCCAAGGTAGCGCACAGTGCCGTTCTTATTGTTCCCCACGGTCACAAACTCCCCTTCTTTCAACCAGTCAGGAAGAACTGACATTGCATCTCCTTCCTCGGAGTCTGAGATGATTTCCAGGATTTCCATGGGCACAGAGAGGTTTAGTCCTGCTCCGAGACTACTGGCCCGGTCCATCTGCCCAAGCTGATCCTCCTCCTCTCCCACAATACACTGAAAGGACTTGAGGTCTGAAGATTTCACCTTCTTGATCTTGAAGGGGTTTGCAACTGCGGTGTCAGGTTTGGAAGGCTGAACGCTGGACAGAGAATCTGCTGAGGAAGTTTTATTGGACCCATCCACAGGTTCTTCCTCTTGGACGTCATCTGTGGTTGAGGATGAAGGCGGGACGGAGCTGTCTTTTAGGTTTGAGGCCTCAGTGGTGGCTTGTTCTTCGGATGAGGCCGAAAACAAATCTTCTGATAAGGCAGGAGCTGGAACCAGGACTTCTGGAACAGCTGGGACCAGGTATTCGGTTGGAACTTGGACACTGTCGCAGGTTGTTTGGTCTTGGACGGCTGGGTCAGACGGAACCTTTTGTGCAGATTGTTGTGTTTCATGGTGGGGTGACAGTTCTTGGGATGAAGCAAGAAGAACCAAATCTTCTGATGGGGCAGGAACTGGAACCAGGACTTCTGAGACAGCTGGGACCAGTTTTGGGGTTGGATCTTCAGAAGTGTCGCAGGTTGTTTGGTCTTGGACAATTGTTTCAGACTGAGCTTCTGGTGCAGATGGTTGTGTTTCATGGTGGAGTGACAGTTCAGCTTCTGTCTCGTCGGTGGCAGCTAACTCGAGTTCTTCTGTTGAAGGAGCTTCTGGTTTTGGGTCTTCCGTTTGTGGAATTTCTGTCTGTTTTGTTTCATTCTCTTCTACTAGCATTGAATCTTCAAGTGGCTCAAAATGGTCTAATTGTTCTGATGCAACATTGTCAACTGTTGACTCTTGTAATAAGTGTGATTCTGCAACTGAATCAGACTCATTTTGCTCCTGGACCGATGGAGACTCATTTGGTTCTTGTTGACTCAGGTTTGAATCTGACGGAGTAACGTCTGGTTTGGACGGTGGCGAGTCAGGCCTCTCTTGAGCTGCCTCATGGTCCAACACCAGAAATGACTCCTGAGGCTCTGATTGATCCTTACGAAAGATTGACTCAGGGTAAGGGTTGTAATATGTCACTCCGTCGTCTGCATCCTCTTCATCTGAAAGCGCCTCCATGACGTCAGAGGGAGGCAGGTCCCAGCTCAGGGTGTAGACATCTGCTAGCGTTGCTATAGACATGTTTGTTGAAATGTACCCGCTCGATGATTCGCTGGTCGGGCTGGGGAAGGAGTCTTCTGTCTTCGGGATGATTGGCGGTGGGAGGGGCTTGGATCTGGGGCTCTCTGTTTGGAGGTCAGGAATGATTGCCTCAATGGGAACCTAAGGGAAACCATGAGTTTAATAAAATCAACTAAATCCCACAAACACAATGTAGAATTTATTGAAATCCTAAAGACATAATAATTAGAATGCAATAAATAATAATGTAGCCGTATAATATTCATTGTAAAAGTTAAGTCTTAAAAACAGCCAGGTTGGTGTTGTTTCTGTAGGATCCATTCTTGAAACAGATCGATGCAGAGGAATATGGTTGAGTAAAGTGTTTCTATGGAGGCCCATAGTGGACTTTTAAAAACATAATTTAACCTTGAAAATAGAACTGTAAATGTTCCACATAATTGTGTTCTTTGAGTAAACATAAAAAGGCAGTAATCCAAATTGTCATTTTAATAACTTGTATTCTATGACCGTATTCAAATGAAAACAGAGAAGCTGTTATTTTTCAAAGTATCCTGTATAGTGGATAATATTCAAGTGTTGTTTCAATCTTAAAAATGTAAATGCAATACAAACAAAGTACTGGTTTGAAAATGAATTGCCCAACAGCTTTTTATATTTTCATTTGAATAGGGCAGGGGTGTCCATATGATGGCCCGTGGTCCATTTTGAATTGGCCCGCATCATTCCAAAAGTATGGAACATGGCCCACACATGAAACTTGTGCTTGTCTTGTATTGTACTTCTTAAATATGTATGTAAACATTCATTACCCAGTAGCATTCATGTGTTAATAAGCCCAATTTCAGTGGAAAAAATGTTCTAACAAATCTTAGTTGATAAAAAAAAGCCCAATAACTTATTTATATAAGAAGCTCGAAATATATATATTTGTATTTCCCCTTATAGCAATCTGAGGCATCTGTTTTAAGTAATTTGCTGCCACACTTTATGTAACAAAATAAATGAAACACTATTAATTGAGAGCTGTGATGTACGCTGTTTGCTTTACCTACATTTGATTGATTTTGCTAACTTATAACTTCACTCATGAGGCAATATACCTCACCTCTAGATAGTGGCCCAGACCTTAGTATGTTTTTCTGTATGTGGCCCTTAGTGAAAACAATTCTGACACCCGTGTAATAGGGTCATAGAAAGCACATACAAATATTTGAAAAGGAACATTGATTGCTATTGCCTCACCCTGCATCTAATGTACATACAGATATAACACCATCTGGGGTTGTAGAACTTACCGGCTGCTGGTGTTTGCTCATGCCCTCTTCAACACTGGCTGACTGCACCATGATGCGAGGCAAACTCTGCGTCAGGAAGGGAATAGAAGATGTTCAGTGAATGTCGTTTTAAATGAAGCAATGTTAAATCTGTAAATCAGTGCAGAAAGCTTGTCGAGCAGACTTCAAGATGTAATCATGAGCAAGTCGGTGTCATTTGAGTCCGCTTCCGCCTGGAGATTAGATATGAATACAAGCCTAACCTGTTCATTATTATACAGTGTGCATCAAGTGGTGATTAGCTGCTGCGAGGGAATTACAAAGCTTCAGCATGGAGACAGAAGCAGAGCCTGTGTGGAAAAAACTCATCTGTGATTGTAAAGAGAGGACAGATCTGTAGGCTGAACATGGTGCTGTACTGCCTTCTCTGGACACCTCACAGAGAACTAACTAGGCCACTTAACCATCCGTGACAATATAAGACTGCACATCTGTGTTTATATGACAAATGATCAGAATAGAACATTCATATTGAATTTATTGTTGTGATCGACAGTCAAGATGTTGATATGAGGCTCAAAGTCAATCACAGCTATCCTATCCCTCTCTGGATCAGGACAGAACACCTGCAAGGCAACAACACATCAGGTGCACAACAAAGGCTGCCTCTTGCATAGTCATTGTTAAATGGACGTCACATTGTGTTTATATTCAAAAGATTAAAAAGGATCATGAAATGAAGACACACTTGCCACTTGTGTATCAGTCATATTTGAAGTAAAGGGACAGTTGACCCCAACACCTTTTAATGTAGTGTACAGGAGAAGGAGAGTCCCACAGGCTGGGATTTGCCTGGGAACTGCAAAGGCAGTCGGCTCGCAGCTGGCTCGGAGAAGGAATTCTAGGTAAATGCAACTGTATAAAGCATCTGGTCGTTGTGCTGCAAAGGAAGGATGCATTGTATGGATACTGGTAAATGGGTACTACTAAAACATTCATCTTTTAAGAGGCGCGTTCACACCGGAGTACTTTTACCCGTACTTTTCCTGTGTAGTTTCGTTAGTGCCTGGAATTTTGCGTTCACACCAAAAAGAGAACTTAGTTCCGAGAACTTTTACACCCATTTTTAGTGCCTGCTAGAGAGGTGGTACTATCCTGGGGAGAAAAAAGTACCAATTTCTGATTGGCTGGGCGAATTGCAAACCACGCCCCTTAAAAACTCTGAAAAGCATTGTATTTGCTGGTATTAGCATTATTAGCATTAGCCCCGTGCACCAACGGAGAGAGAATAACTTATGGCAACACAAAAAAAAACATAGAAACCAGTCCCCAACTCCAGGGACTTCGGGCGGCAGTATACGCTGTGAAGTTGTTTGCGGCCTGCCAGTAAACCCAAAGCAGAAGAAGAAGTGACGTCAGCGGCTTCATTTGCCTAATCCTCCCTCAGGGAATTTATTCCGGTGTGAACGTGATCTGCACTTAGTGCCCTGGGGGTACCAAGTGCTGGTACCAAGTGCTGGTACCAAGTGCTGGCACTAAGTGCTGGGCACTAAGTACGGCAAAGTACTTGGTGTGAAAGCGGCTAAGGTCGTATAATTAACATTGGTACGGTGATAATTAAATATTAACATACCATTCAATTTGTATTCTGTTATTTTGATTTACATTAGATTTTATTTGTCGTTTAGTTATTTTATTTGTTATCTTTTAGCGTCAGTCAATACTCACTTATTTTATTTTATTTATTAAATAATGGGCCTTTCTTTTGTTGTGAAAGGATTATGTTTTTATTGTATTGGTGAAGGGTTAATGAATCTATATGGCACTCAGTTTGTGGTGTTTAAAGTGCCAACACAAGCCATCCAGATCCATTATATTATAGACCCTCCAGAAAAACGCGATTCTGCGATCGCAGAATTGACCCCATAATCAGCAAAATGGCGCAGATTATTAAAAGGCCGCATATTTATCAAAAGGCCGCATAATCCCCGCATTTTTCCACACAAAGTTGAGAAAAAAAAGTTAACTCGTCTTGACGTGAAGTGATGATGATGCTGACGCAACGTCATCAGCTCGCGCATCACAGAAGGTAAACAACACCGTAGAGTGAACGTGTGGAGCTCACACGAGAGAGAAAACACCAAGATGAAAAATCTAATCCATCTCATTTACCGACGAACATTTCTGCTAAAGACCGGGCAAAGCAGTACCCCGATGTCTTGCATGAAAGTGGGGGGAAACTATTCTGCACCCCGTGCAAATGTGTGTTGGAGCATAAGAGAACATCGACGGTGACGACCCACTTTGATTCATTCAAACATTCGAACATGCTTTCTGCTGCTGCGGACAAGAAAGCCAAACAACTCACGTTCACCGAGGCATCAACCTCCAAAACCCTTTCGAGGGCTACAAGAAACGAAGTGAGTAGCCTACAAGATTGAAGCTGGTCAGATAACGAACGAGTAAATGAAAACAGAATGAGGCGGAGAAGTGTGTGTGTGTGTGTGTGTGTGTGTGTGTGTGTGTGTGTGTGTGTGTGTGTGTGTGTGTGTGTGTGTGTGTGAGTGTGTGTGAGAGAGAGAGAGAGAGAGAGAGAGATTAAAATAGCCCAATTGCTTTTACAATAAATAAACATTGAATGTGTTTAATTGAATAGTAAAGGTGTTTAACGTTAGTGGCAGGTTGTGTGTGAGAGAGAATAAATAAGACAGCCCAATATTTATTTTTCCGCATATTTCGCAACTTCCCGCAATTTCATCGCATAAAATCACATAAAACCTTGCATGTTTGATCAAATAATCAAGGATATTTTAGCCCGCGTTTTTCTGGAGGGTCTAATATATCAGGGAGAAGGAGAACATCGATTGGCAGATAACGATTTAGAGTCTTTTTGGGGCGTGTCCAAATCAGTTTTCAAGTCTTTTTAAAGCAAGTCTCAAGTTCTCGAGGGCAAGTCACATTACAATTTCTTATAAACAATCTATCCACTTTAGTGATTGTTTTTCAGCCACAGTTACAATCAACCACTCTTCCAATTGACACACAGCCTGCTATTATTTGCATAACTCCAGGCTTTTGTCTCCGTGTTGACCTTTCTAAACATCTGTGGCACGCATGTCGGAGTGGAGCAGTAATTAGAGCGATGGCCTCAAACGCTGCACCAACAAGCCCCGGAGGTTTCCATCCCCACCACCACGGCACATGATCTCCATGATGATCCCCCCTCTTCCGCTCACGGTGCTAATCAGTCCAATCAGAGGCTGTAGTGTTCGGCTGCGATGAAAAGCTGCAGACTCCCGGGTCTCGATGGCACATGATTGGAGATCAGTGAATGCAGAGGTGGTGAAGGGGGGGGGGGGGTTCACCTGCTCCTAATTAAACTTCCTCTACACACACTATGCTGCTGTTGTCTCGGTAGGGGCTGTTTGTTAAGCGTCTGCTCTGATCACAAACATTAAACAGCACATCAATCAACATCGTTTGTAGCGTATGTGATGATGCTTTCAGTTGTAACCCCCCGCTGCAGTAATGTGTGTGTGTGTGTGTGTGTGTGTGTGTGTCAAGAATCAGAATGACAGATAGGATTATTCCTAAATCAAAGCCTGGATTAGTTTAGGTTAATGGAGCATTTCAACTGTGTTTTCTGTAAAAGAGTCAAAACACATCAATGTTTAATGCTGTTAGTGAAAATAATTGTATTTAATTATTGTAATAATAATGATATTACTTCAAACTAGCATTTTCAGAAGGTTTCTTTCTTCATGTGGACTGTTCCAATTGTTACCAGTTTCCTAAAACTCGTAAATAATAATGTAACTTAAAGATCAAAACAGATAATAAATAGATCAGTCATATAAAAAAATATATGTTTTACAATCTTATTTTAACCAAACAATGGGTATAAGGTTGTCTTTATTTTGCAAATTACAGCAGGAAGTTATATAGCTTTTCCATGCAGCAACCTATAGGGTCTGACAAGTGAACCTAATGAGAAGTGCCTGTATTCTTTCAAATGTCCAGCAGGGGCAGACTGGTTGCAAAAAAGTCAGATTGTATAGACGTCTATGAGAAAATGACCCAATCTCTCACTTACTTAGGTAAATATTTACCTAAAAAGTTGAGGGTCTCATTTGCTAGTTTCAAGCTCTTTAAACTGGTCAGCCCTTTTCTAACTTGTGATAAACAGGTTGCTAACAAGTCTTTGGTCTTGACCATGTTTTTGTCTTGGAACTTTAACCCTTAATTATAATGTGTTTTAAGTATATGAAAGCACATTTTTGTTGCCACAAAGTGTTATTCGCTGTTCTGTTATACCAAGATCCCACTGTCATGTCAATTTTGGTTCTAAAAACAAGATGGTGGAGGCCACAGTGCCAACATCGAGGCTTAAAACTAACAAACGAAAGGGTTAAGTCAACTTCTTATTTACAGTCTATGACTGTCACACGGACAGATACAGGAAGTCTTTCCAGCCAACAGTAATAACTCTGTATGATAACTCACCTCTGATTGGCCGAGAACTCACTGCTCCATAGTTTCTCTTTTGTTAACTGGACTTATAACTTCAATGTACATTTCACATTTATATCTAATTTAATATGCCTTTCAATTGTGTTTTATTTGTCAGATAGTCATATTTTTATATTCATGGTCAACTTTTATATTTCCACTCTTCGGTTTTCCATTTTGAGATGTTTATATTAGGGCTGCACGATTTTGGGGAAAAAAATCGAATTGCGATTTTTCTGACAAATATTGCGATTCGAATTGCGATATGTGTTTTTAAGCGACCCAACGGAAGTTTATTGTAAAATGCGGCCATATCTCCGGCTAGGAAGGTCGCATCAACATGCTCCCATCTCTAGCACCCCCGCAGCCCGAGCTACGAGTGAAATAACTAAACTTACATGAAACTTCCGTTGGGTTGCTTTAAAGTCAAGCTTCAGTTTAAGATTCTCCCTGTAATAGAAACATGTGATGGAGCGTCACTAACCTGACTCAGATGGTTAGTTTCACCAAAGCATCTAAAGCTCCATTGGAAGCCATTTGGAAAGGGCAGGTGATTGGATCAATCTGTCTATCACCTTCTATCATGGGCTACTTCTGATTGATTAACAATGGCTGGTACATGTGGAGCACAGCACTTCTGATTGGTGTGGATGACTGACACACAAGAAAAAAAAAAAAAAAAATAGAAAAAAAAAAAAAAATGGAAAAAAAAATCGCAGGCTTTGCAATTTGATAATCGCATCATTTCAAATCGCGATTTCGATTTAAAATCGATTAATCGTTCAGCCCTAGTTTATATTGTATAATTGTTTATTTTCGACTGTTTATATTTCTATTAAGTGCAATACTTTGTTTTACATGCTGCTGCAACAAAAACATTTCCCAATTTGGGATTAATAAAGTATATCTTATCTTTAAGATTCTTTCAAACTTATTCAAAGTCCAACAACTGATAATGTTATTTTGTAAGAACTGATGATGCCAACATGTTTTTTGTTTCAACTGTTCAATTGGCTGCATATAGGAAGAGCACACAAAGATTAGTTTATCACATTTCCAATTTCTGAAAACAACTGAGCACTTAGACACTTGATCTGTTCATTATGTGTTTCCATCTATATAAGCTCTGTTTCCATGGCAACAGAAGAAATAGGACTAGCAGCTGATGGGTAAAGAGGATATTTAGATTCAGACAGCGAGCAGAATACACAGGTTTGAATGTGAAGGAGTGTACCTGCTGATGGACAGGCGTCTGCTCTTTACCAGCTGCTCTCCCACCAGGAAGCAGGGACTTCAGCAGCTTGGGAACAGCCTTCACTGGAGAGAGATAAGACTCAGCAAAGCCTGGATGCACTGATGAAGAGGAAAAGGTTGCAGGTGCAGAAATTGAGAAAACAAGGGCGGAAAAAGGCTTTTTGAGGCAAAGAGGAGAGACACGGAGTGCCAAAAAGAGATTCACAGCAGAAAGACAGATAAAGTCGCCCACCGGCTAAAGTAAAAACAGAGCTGATGACATCAAAAAAGAGAAGGAATCCATTAGGAGATAAAGGTGTTATCAGTACCTGTGTCTGGGTTCAGGGTCTGGGATATGGAGCTGGGCAGAGTGCGTCTGGATGGAGGCGGGACATAGGAGAGGTCCTGGTGGCTCTCCCAGCCCTGCAGACCCAGAGGAGGACACACATGAGGCTTAAAGAGCACCTCAGAAAACTGTGACCTCCATTTGAGACCAAAAGGGAATGCAATAATAATACACAGCATTTATTTCCACCATTCATCCATTAGATCTAGCTTTATCTTCTTACCTAACAATTCTAGTCATTTTGTGTATCTGTATGATTATTATTATTTTGTGTTGTTCCCCATTGTAAAGCGTCCTTGGGTTTCGTGAAAGGCGCTATACAAATTGAAACTATTATTATTATTTATCCATTGCTTTTAGCAAGCTGTTACAACAATTATTCTATTATTATTAGCTAACTAATTCAACTATTTATACATTTCTTTTAGCTAACTATTTGACTAGAATTTCTTGTAAATAAGAAATAAAAAAACCGAAGTGGAAGACTGAAACATGACTGGTAGAAATGAGAAGATTAGTAGACAGGATGTATGCCTCTCACCTTAAAGTCATTGAGCCTATGAGTGGAGGAGTAGAGATCCAGACTGCTGGCTGACAGCTGGTTAAAGGGTTAGAGCCAGGGCGGTGGTGAGCGTTGGTTAGACAGGTTAACACCAGGGAACATGAAGAAACAAAACCAGAAGCCTACAATAATTAACTCTATGTTAGCAGTGCTAAAAAAAGCTGTGAGTTCATGGAAGTGATGTTAGAAGAAATATGGCCACAGAACTACAGAGAAATCTTAGAGGATAGTCAAATGTTAGTTGGGTCAATAAAGAAGAAAACCTGAAGTCTCTTACTCGGTGGATGTTTGGAGAGCTCAGGCAGCGTCTGGGAGCTTTCCCTCGGACTGCCAGCTGTTCCTTTACAGCCACCTCCTACACACACACAAAAACAAGAACATGTGTTTGTTAAAAACACTATGCCTGAGCTTTTGGATGCTTTATATGCATCTAAATTCATTTGATCTATTTGTTTCCATTTCGGCAGGGCGGAAAGAAAACTGCTTCAACTAATAACATCTTCCAAAATAACATAAAGAGCAAAAAAGGAAATGGAAATCTAATGTGCCGAAGCTTCAGAGAAACATCAATCACAGTTCAACTGGTCCGACATTAAGGTGTTCTGGGTGATGTAAATGGTGCCAAATACCAGGTGATTTACTGTGGATTTGATATTTGGAGATCTATGTCAAAATACAACGACAAATTAGCATGAAGTGTATTTCCTACCTGTCTGAGTCTGTCCAGAGTCAGGACGTTCTCCACAGCCAGGACGCTGCGCAGGTACTTCTCTATGGCCGCCTCACTGTCAGCTGATTGGTCGTCCTCGGTGCTGGCAGCCAGCCGGGCCAACATCTCCCTGTCCTCTGGACCATGGATGTCCTGTGGGGAGAGGGTACACTCAGGGTACTATTCAGTGTGGTTAAGGGGAAAGTTTGAGGTATTTATCAGTAGTCAGTTTAAAGAGTGTACAGTAGGTGAAGGTCATAACGCCCCAAGTTTGGCGGAAAGTAAAACGACAGGGGTCTGAAAAACCATCTGTAGGACTTTAAATAATGCTATATTGTTTCCCAACTTACATACATTAACACAAACAAACTAATCGAGGCAGCTGTTTACCTGCAACTCCTGCGTTAGCATTCATGTTAGCTTCCTGGCTCTTGTGTACTTCGGGAAAACTGGGGGCGTTCCAACAGCCATCTACTGGACCTCCTATAGTCCCACTTAAAAATATCTAAACCATCCCTCTAAAGCAGGGGTCAGCAACAGGCGGCCCACGGGCCGTTGGCAGCCCGCCAGGAATACTATTTGGCCAGGAAAATTATTTTGAGAATAATAATAATATTTTCTATTTTTTACAATATTGGACCGACAGTCGCACATAGGCTATAAAGTCCGAATAGAGAATCTACCTACACCTGAAGAATTCTTATTGTACTTTTATCCATGTTGAGAGTGAATGACACGCAGCACAGGCACACTCTGGCAGCGGGGTGCACTGACGCTGATAGTGGATCAATAAGTAGGTGGACAGCGCGTGGTGCTGAAATAGCCAACAAGCGGTGTGTGGTTTGAAAAAAATAACACCAGCTCACTAAATCATTCAAACGTAATGTTTACTTGACATTGACAACAACATCGGAGAAGCCGCTTGATCATGGAGGGCGAGGGGTGGCGGTGCATATGCTGCCACCCCAGCTGCCACCCCAGTTGGTAGCTTTGTTTTGAAAGAAAAGTTTTGGCTCATCGGACATTTATGAGAGAAAATCCCTAATGTCCGAGTGCAAGGGAATTCAGCACAAGACGCGAGCCTTGTAACCCCTCCCTGGTGCGAGCATGGAAAAGTGATTGACGGCGATTTCATTTGAATGGGACGGTGCAAAACGAGAAGCAATTTAAAAGATAAGTCTGTTAAAATACAGATAATAGCCCTGGCTTTTAACATGGGACTGACATGGGGCTAGAGAGGACGAGGCTCTGGCCTTTGATTATGTTCTGGCCCGCCATCTAGAGGCTCAGAAAAAGATTGGCCCAAGGCCAAACTTACTTGCTTGCCGACCCCTGCTCTAAAGCCTCACCATACCAGGGTTTCATTTATTTATACCATCCTGAAATATTTAGCGTCCCTTCAAATGTGTTCCTGTTCAATCTGCAAAGACCACAGAACGTAGCCAACCAGCATTAAGTATTTAATAATGCTGTGTAAAAAGAGAAGATAAAGGCCCACATTCATGAATGATGCTATTGAAACATAACATCCAACCTGTCTGATCATTTGCATGTCCTATGCAGAATACACTTTAAAAACCCGATAGATGCACAGTAAGCACAGCCTACTCGAGGCTAATTTATGGACAAAAAACGAGCATCAACACACATTGATCCGGAACTTACCCCTGGGATGTTAGAAACTATTTCAAACGTGACTCCACAGCCGGGGATGGCGCTGCGCTGAGACATCCTCTTCAGCAGACTCTGAGCGAAACCCTGCCACACAAACACCAAAACACATACTGAATGATTTCTTTTAGCAATCAAGTGATTATTTGAGAAGGAAATGTCATTGTGTCCGACTGCTTCTACCCATCATGCCTCGGGGCCACCCACCTGTCTTCCGGTGACGTTGACACAGATGCGTTTCCTGAGCACCAGCTGCATGTGGGCGGGGTGGCTGAGCTGCACCACCGTGCTGACCGTCAGGTACACCCTCTGATCGGCCGGCGCCACGCGGCTCAGCTGGGGACACTCGTGCACCGTCGAGTCCCAGGAGGCCTCCACCTTCACCTGATGACATCACAGAGCAGGGACAGTGAATGGCTAAGATAGTCCCTACATGTACTATCTAGATGGCACATTTGGGATTTGTAGAAACAGTGTGTCTTTAAGAGATGAAAACCCATCTCCTTACCTCTGGATCAAAGTGTTTAACAATATGGAGGTCAAAGAAGTCGTCCTCTTCCTCCCCACTGAGGAGGGCATCCAGCCCCCCGGCCAACGGAGCAGAGAGACTAGACTGGAAATCATCAGCTGCAGGGGAAGACGAAAGCCAGTTATTAAGACTTCAGAGGATTTGGCTAAATCATGAGCAGATAAGACAGAGAGGAAGGACACACCGCTGAGATCCAGGAACAGGACAGGTATGTGTGTTTCCATCCCAGCAACAGGAACCCTGTGGAGGAACAGCACAGTCAGCATAATGACTCAACACTAGGGATGCACGATATTGGGTTTTTGAAACCGATACTGATAACTTCCTGCTTCTCAAGACCGATACCGATAACCGATAATAATATAATATATATATTAAATGTACCTGTAGTTTTTGCACACCTGGTGGTAAAAAAAAGACTAGTAGTGAGCAAATGACATGAGCATTACTACTATGAACAAAACAAAGCCAAGAACAGTTTTGACTCTTCAAAGTGACCATATTTATTTTCCCAAATAAAGGTCTTGCCTTTTTCAAAAGCCTCGTCGAAAGGTAAAAGCCCCGGTGCCTTTGCAGCTGGCTTTGGATTCGCCGCTAGTTTAGCAGCGTAGGCGTCTTCGTACGCTTTTAACACACCATCGTAGCGATGGCGATGTTTCAGGTGACAAATCAGGTTGGAAGTATTATAGCTCGTTGCCTTTTTTCCCTCCTCGTGGAACTTCTGCATTTGTAATACAAATAGCAAGCGAACTATCTAACTCTGAAACTTTGAAATAGTCCCATACTACCGGCGACATGTTTGTTTACTGTCCTGGCTTCACGGCCGCACACCATTTACGTCACAGCCAGGCAGTTAGGGAGCGCTGGATTTGTGAAGAACTCCCCTCTTCCTAAACCACTAATACCACAGTACTGGCAAAACGGGAGGAGCCGAGTGAAAAACAAGCGCCCCTCATCCCAATCCACCCACACCGCAGTATTTTTTTCTCTTTTTTTACCCAAAAAATATATTGTATATTATCGGGGCTATTAATACTGGTATCGGGTTTATCGGGATGACGTCATAATTCCTAATATCGGGCCGATAATTATCGTGCACCACTACTCAACACTAGTGTTAATTTCGTCAGCTATTTTTTCATTTAGTTTTAGTCTTAGTCCTGTGTTAAATGTCCTTTTTAGTTTTAGTCATATTTAGTCACCTTCATCCTGTTTTTATTTAGTCAAGTTTTAGTCGACTAAAAGTCTGAGCATTTTAGTCATATTTTAGTCAAAGAAAACTAATTATTTTAGTCTACTTTTTGTCAATGAAAACTGTTGAGTCTTTTTTAGTCATCAGATTATATAGAACATTTCAGTCAAACTAGTCTAGCCAAAACCAATAATTTGTCATTTTAGTATATATAAATAAATACGATTATATCTTGTCCTTATTTGATGAAAAACACAGGTTGAATGATTGAGAAGCTTTGCAGAGTATCTGGTCATGTTTGTGGTATTTTCACCAGCTGTGTTATGGCCACATTGCTTCCCTTCTGATAAAACAATGCATTCGCTTTTTTTCTCCGCCTCATTGTAGCGAAAATGGGCCCAAATATCACATCGTTTCTTTCTCCCAAGCAGTGGTGGCTTTAGACTTTTTCGTTGTCAGTAATTTTGACGGATCGTAACATTTCCGTCATAATCCATTATTATCCGTCGATTACACAATTTATCAATCACTCGCGCTGACGGGGGGTATTCGGTTAACGCGAGTGCGACCACTGCTCCCAAGCCCTGTTGTTGCCATTTTATTTTCTGTTAAATAAGGTTAGTTAGACCATGAGTTAGAGCCGAGTCTTCCTGACAGTTCAGTGTGCCGCTGCCCGGTGTAATTCAAATGTACCGCCAATAATGCGCACCACAGACACACACAGCTGCTGCCCAGCCGCAGCACCGGAAATGGAAACTGCTGGGAGAAAAACTGACTATCAGAAATGTAACGTTATCTTTGATAATATTTCGTCTCCTCATTTTTCGTCAACGAAAGTAAAGAGAGATTTTTGGCATAGTTTTTATTTAGTGAACTACATTTTCGTCTCGTCACTTTTCGTCAACGATATTGCATGATGATTTCGTTACAGTTATTGTTTACTGCCGTCGGTGCCGTCTCGTCATCGTCTCGTTTTCGTCATAGAAAAAAAGGTCGTTGACGAACATATTTCGTCATAGTTTTAGTCAACGAAATGAACACTACTCAACACCTAAGATACAGGCGGGCTCACAGCGATCTCTACTCAAGACCAATTCAGTGTATGGAAGCAAAGGGTACCTGCTTACATTTAACTAAAAAATGATTACATACGTTTTATTATGAAAATGTACTTAAAAATCCAAATTAAAAGTTCATAATTCCACGGATTGGCCACTTTGCTAGTGTTATATTATGACATATATATATTATGATTGCATTTGAATATTATTGCTGGGCAAAGAGGAGCACGTTTGAACAATTTTTTTCACTTTAACCGCAACCATTTATCCTTTCTTTTATATTTGCCATCTTTTTTGGTGTAAAAAGTACGATATTCACCTAAGAAATGTTGTGCAGTCAACTAAAAATCTTCTTGTGTTATAATAGGAGCTGGTTCATTTCCAACAACTCATTTTGTGTTTGTAAAGGGTGAATAGGAAGCATTGGTTTTAAATCAAGCCTTTCATTAATAGATCAAATAAACTATTGATTTCCCTTCAGACTCACCTCTCCACCGGCGCTCCGGGGATGCCGCTGCCGGCCGACGGCACCAGGACAGCGTTGCGTTCTTCGGTGAGCGTCAGACGACACTCCAGCAGCTGAGACTCCCTCTCAACATCATCCTCCGACTTATCTACACACACACACACACAGAGTAGAGTTTCACACTAAAAACAAAGTATACTATGGTAGGGCTTTATGATGGTTCATTATTATCATCTGTTGTATTGTGTCTCCCACAATGGGTCCAATAGCAGTCATGTTACTTCTTAAAATAGTAGTGCACTTCAGCCTCTTGTGGCCACAATTAGTATTACAACAACCAAAATCAGATCAGATTCTTTAAATAGATCACCAGATCTTCCCTCACTTGTCTCTCAGGGCTTCCATAGAGTTCCTGAAGGTCCTGACAGTGTTCTTTTTCAATTTCTTTAGACTGTATGTGTTTCACAGCTGTACCTGGTTTGGAAACTATCTTCTGCAGCTGCAGGTCCAGATACTCCTGTCTCTGAGTGAGCGTCACCAGCCACTGTTCCCTCAACCTCTCCAGATCTGCCTCCTACACACACACACACACACACACACACACACACACACACACACACACACAGGCAGAGGTGCATTTTGACATCAGCTGATTACACCGCATTTTATTCCATTATAAGCAAACCATCATGCATCTACGTCATAACTGATTTACACACCTGGTAGCTGTCCATCTCTTCATCCCCACCCTGAAGAATACAGACACAAGTCAATCATGAAAACTGAAGAGCAAAGTCATGATATTTCCATAAAATCCCTTGTTCTAATACTGATGATTCCTCCTCACCCAATGTGATTCGCTGCCTCTGGAGACCCGGGTCTGTCGGATCTTGATGTCTCCGATGGACACAGAGAGGATGGAGGCGGCGATGAGGGGCATGGTGCCAGATTCTGGTACTGGACGCACCTCCACCTGGACCCGGCGAGACTGGCCCTGTAGGAACAGATTCACATGGTAGGATAGTTATTGTCACATATAGACATTTAATACTGTGTGTAAAATGTACAAAACCACAAAGACCAATTCCAGGATACCTGTCTGAGCTGGAAGACTCCCCCTGTGTGGACGTCTTTAGCGGGGAGAACCTCCACAGGGGTGAACTGTCCGGCCTCGTTCAGCTCCATCAGCTGCACCCACAGCTCCAGGTGGCGGGTCGCCTCGCTCCACCTGCAGAGCACGGACACAGATCAAAGCTTAGCTGAATTCCCTTTAAAAAGGTATGACAGTACACATTGGTGCTTCTGTGGATCGGCCATTCTGCCATTAGAGGGTAAAGCATGTCATTACTAACACACTGTGAGATAATATGAGAGCCACATGGAAGGGTTTGTATTTAGAATGTTTATTTATCATATTTTCCACCCATTATTAGCTTCACAATTCACAAGTGGGGTGTTGCTTTATGTATTTGGAGCATCTGAAGTTCGAAGCTGAACTTGTGTGTGTTTTTGAATCATTTCGAGGACTGCAGGGTTGTGTTTGTGTGTCGTCACCTCTCTCTGAGGGTTCTGGTTTTGGCTTGAATCACTCCCAGGTCCCACAGAGCTAGGTTCCTGCGGTGGTTGGCCTGCTTGTGTCCGTACACCTCGATGGCCACCGCCCCATCAGCCAAGAACTCCACAAAGTCCTCCGACACTGACACCGAAAACTCCTACAGAGGGAAAAAAACAAGGCATCTTTCATTCCAATGTGCATGTTCTTATATTAACAATAACCTCTCTTTTGTTTTGTTATCATTTCATTGTTGGTGTTGTATTCACTTGTTTCTTAATGGAGTAGATTGTGTCTCTTTTCAAACCCAACTGTTGATATGAGTGTTACATTCTCACAATGCTCTTCATACATTGACTTTGCTGTATTTATGTTAAGATGGAGTAACGAATAAAACCTAATTGTGAAGAATGTTTTGAACCCTGTGTACCGTCAAAACTTGCAGTGGAATTGTTACCCTGGCGCTGTCGAAGACCACCGTGCACTGAGGGTCTCTGGACTCTGCTGGCGAGCTGGACGGCTGCATCTCTGGAGCGATGAACACCGACTCCTGCTGCCCCCAGAAGTGATACTGACAGAAGACAAAGTTGGACAGGTGGCGAGGCAGACCGTTGGCCTGGAGGATTTTCACCTGAGGAGAGGAGAGGAGGAAAATCCCATCACATCACAGATAATGATGAACAACAAAGATAGTTGAAGAACTACGATGGTAGCCTGCCATATGTGTGAGTCGTGTTAGCAGTTGGTGCGTGTGTGTAAAGTTTGTTGCGGCCGGTTTCTTTGTTTCCGTGTAAAGGACATTATATTTGAGATCGTTGTTTGGGACTGATTCAATGACTTTAAGAGGCTTTGCTTTGCATTATATTTGAGGAGAGTGTTTGCCAGTTGTTCTTAGCCTTTGTCAGCTGTTTTTCTCTCGCTGACACGTGTGAGTTTGTTGGTGCGTTGTATGTGGAGTTTTTCCCTTGTAGGTTTTAGCGGCGGTTCCCTTGGGAGCGTTGAGCGGGGTGTGTGTAGTGTTGCGGCGAAGGTGGGTGAAGCTTCGGCTTGGGAGCATGGCCGTGGTCTCAGCAGTGTTGCTAGCCTGCTAGTCGCTTTGCTGGGCCAGCGGTCTCCAGTGCGTAAATACCCACCACAAGTAACTGCATGAAGACTAGGGGGAGGTTAGTCAGTGGGATGGTGAATAGTTAGCGGGGAAACTCCAATCAAAAGTTACTATTGTTCCACTTTGTGCGCATAATAAACGCTGTGGGGTCTGTCCGTTTCTTTTCAGCTTAAAGGTCCGGTGTTGTGTTCCTGTGAGTTGTCATTGTAAAATAATATGGCTGACGTAGAGGCATTCATTAAAGCTCCATCTCAGGAGTCTCTTGGCATTTGTTCAAAAGATCAGTTGCTCGTGATTGCTGAGCATTTCTCTGTGTCTATTGTCGGTGATAAAAGGGTGAAAGAGAACATCAAAGACTCTATAATATAGGAGACAGGAGTGTGTCCTGCAGAGAAAGGGGAGGTTTCGTCAAAGCCTCTTTTTCAGGCTAGTGCACTTTCTTTTGAGTAGCAGAGAGAAATGTTGATGTTGCAGTTCTCACAGTCTGCATATTCCTCTTTATGTCTGGAGGATAGCTCGAGCTATGTTAAGATAAAATGGGCGGTGCTTAGAGCACATGAACTGGTGCCAGAGGCCTATCGACAGCGGTTTAGGTCCGTTGAGCAAAAACAAGGTCAAACGTATGTGGAGATGGCGAGGGATTTGTCCATTCATTTTAAGCGTTAACTGCTCTTGAAATCACTTCTTTTGACAACTTGTGTGAACTAATGATTTTAGAACAGTTCAAAAATGTTCTTCCAGACCGCATTGCCACATACATAACAGAACAAAAGGTCGCTTCTGCGGCTGCTGTGGCACAGCAAACAACATTCTTATGTGTTTCTTGGTTGCATTTGAAACATGTTGGTATGTTACATTTAAGTCTGGCTCTCTCCTCAAGTCACAAAATATGTTTTGATTTGGTTAATATGTAGGAATTTGTAGCAAAGAGCTCTTGGCTTTTATTTTGTTTCCTCTTAACAAAACAGAAGCTAGAAAGGATATAAGGACAACACCGATGTAATTACATTTTCACAGTACAGTGAGCTGGAACACTCACAACAGAGAGAGGACACAACACTTGACTGCCTGCCAGATCCATTATTCATTTTGAAATATTTCCCCCTAGAATCCCTGCCAACACTGAACAGATACTGCATGTAGGAGCCTGACTGTCCAGCAGTGTCTCAATCAGGGCCATAGGGTCACCGGTTCAAGTCCCCGACCAGACCTAAATATGGAGTGTGGACTGCTACTTGGAGAGGTCCCAGTTCACCTCCTGCCCTGCCGTGGTGCCCTTGAGCAAGGCACGGACACCCCCCTTCCCCCCTCTCCCATTGCTCCCTGGGCGGCGCGCTGTGCAATAGCTGCCCACTGCTCCTGGTACTAGACTGGGTTAAAAGCAGAGAACACATGTCACTGTGTGCTGTGTGCTCTGCATGTGTGACCATTAAAGGGGGTTTCATCCCTCCCATTCTATCATTCTTCTATGACTTGTTCCTGGATTTTGCTCATTTACAACTGAATGAAACACAGAAGCCTGTTCTCACCACACAGTCCATTTTGCAGTCCTGTGTGTCTCCGTCTGAGTTGCTCTGTCCTGCAGCGTCCTCCTCAGAGCTCTCTGTTCCTGGTCTCACCTCCACATGCAGCCGGCCTGCAACCTGATGAGCACACACAGAGGGAGGGTCCCATTGTCACTTCAGCAGGAAGCAAACATGTCTTTTTTTCCAACCATTTAAAGGTGGGGTAGGTAAGTTTCAGAAACCGGCTCGAGATACACTTTTTGTTATATTCCATGGAATGCTCTTAACATCCCGATAGCAATGAATATCTGAAGTGCTTTGACAAAAAATCCATCCATCATCTGTGGAAGCCGTAGTACTGTAAAAAGCACGACCAATCCGTTTAGCCGACCCTGTCTGTCAGCCTTCCATCTCGTGCACGCACAAATGTATCTCGTGCCCTCATTGGGCGTGCCGTAATTGGGCGTGCATTGCGCGTTCATGTGTGTTGGAGGAGGTGCTCTGTAAGGAAGTCTGAAGGAAGGGGCGGATTCTTTTCGGCTGTGTACTTTCAAATTTTAGTGCACTCGAGCCGGTTTCTGAAACTTACCTACCCCACCTTTAAGTACTTATTTTCTAGCCAGTGAGGCTTATTACCATTTAGTCCAGGGGTGGGGAACCTCCGGCCCCCGGGCCGTATACGGCCCGCGAGACCATTTGGTGTGGCCCTCGAGGTAATTTATAAACACACGCAAAAAAGAAAAAAATTAAAGAACTCTAGACCGCAAAAAAATTAAACAAGCGAGTGCCTGCTTTTCCTGGCAACGGTCAGGGTCCTTGAACACAACACGAGCCTAACGTGTCATCACGTGGTATATGTCTCTCTGACATCGGTGCAGTTCCGACGGAGAGCACCAGAACGCGGCTCCGGGACTTCAGAAATTGCAGTACCGATAAGTCCGTACACATGCTGCAGTTTTTGCGTGGCTGTGTCTTTAGTTGAAAGCCCAGTGGCGATCTGCTCATCTGTCATACTGATCATACAGTCAATAACTTTGTTGTTATTAGCATCTGGTTAGCTAGCTATGCTAACGGATATAAGAAGCTTTTTCTCAACAAGTGAGGTAAAGGCACATCTTTATATGATCATTATAGTTCTCAAAAAATAAGAGAATAAAGTAAACAGGTATAAAATACAATATGACAGTAAAAAAAAGTTGTTATTAATAAACAAGAATACAGTTTGAAAGGAGAGTGATTTGTAAAATATCCATAAAGAAAAAGTAAATCTGGTTCCAGTTCTGTTTCATATGAGTGTTGAGAGATGTATCCATAGATCTCTTAATGTTGCTCTCAAAGTGCACCAGATTGATGCTTTTAACTTCAACATTTTAAAAAAAATCTTCCCCCCCCCGGACCCCCCTAGAGGAGGTGAGGACCCCCCCCCCCCCACTTAAATCATGTTCACATGGATAGGAAACTAAATACATTTGCACACATCTTGTGTCCATATCTTTCTGTTTGGTGGTCATACCACACCGTGCACGTGCATGCGCGAGTCATGGTAAGATATCTGGATTAAGAGGTTGCTTTTTCTTTGCACAGCATGAAAGAAAGGCCAAATGAATGGGCTGTGATTTTTAAGCAGAGGTCAATAATTTGTACGGCCCCCGGAGGATGTTGACAAAATTGAAATGGCCCTTGAGAGGAAAAAGGTTCCCCACCCCTGATTTAGTCCATAACATAGGCTTATATTATTGTGAAGCCTAATAATCCAAATAAGCAATACATACTTGCCAAGTTAGAAAACCCTTTTTAACGTTTTTCCAGGATAATCTGTTCCCTAAAAACATATGTGAAATATGCCAAGATCATTTTTCTAACTAACTTACGTGTTATAATACTCTTTTTGTCCACAAGAGGGTGCAGTGTACCACTACCCCATACTCCTACTAGAACTAAAGCTTTAATGTTTTTTTTCCAGGTGACTTTAGATTTCTCTATGCACTCTAAACCAAAGGGTACTTACAGTAAATGTTCTGTTAGCAAGTTATGCAACATAACTGTCATGTCTGTCTTTTGGCTAGAAATATATTATAATCGGCCACTTTCAGTTGTATTTATAACATGTGGTAAAGGAGCACTTCAGCCTCTTGTGGCCACATGTAGTACTCCGAAAAGAAACACTAAAATAAATTCCCCTGCCAATTTTTCTTCCCGGGCTAAACCTTTTTCTGCTGTGCGTGTCTGCTGCTTGGAGCAGGGTCCGAAGTTTAATCAAAGAAACAAACATATATTTGATTAGTTTAAGATCTTGTAAAAATGGTATCTAAATTGTCTGTGTGTGTATTGCTCCCAGTGGGCCTCCTACCTCCCCCTTCTGGTTGATGATGGGCACTGCGTACTGCAGCTTGACGTCGTAGAACAGGCAGGCCAGGAAGACATTAGCCACGCCGATCAGAGAGTGGTTCTCCTGCTCGTCGAAGAACGGGTCGGCACGTTTGAAGTAGGACCGCATCACCTGGGTTCGAGAGAAAATAAAAAAACTTGGTGAGACTGAGGGGGTTATCACTTTTTAACTTCAGGGTCAAGTGTTCGACTGTATTGTTGGAAAACTGGAGTTCTAATGTTCCATCAGGACTTTCTTTATTTATTTTTCATAAAGAAGTCCATCATATTTGCCAATATTTTATTTGCATATTCTTTGTTCACTGTGCTTATTTTGTGTCCCTTTTTTTAAGCATTAAGTCAATGAGGTAAGCAAAACGGCAGAAATGAAACTAATCAGATTATTCTTATCAGATATCAGCTGACACATCCACATATCACTGAATTAAACTGTAAATGTTCTACAGATGTCATTCATTTATCCGAGTCAGTGCGTCACCAGGCTCGTATCTGTGTTCACTCACAGCGTTGTCTTCGTCAAAGTCCTTCCACTCCTGGTAGAGCTCCCTCATGTCCACCAGCCTGTTCTCCATCTTCTCCAGAGCCCAGATCTGCTTCCCTTTCCCCTTACGCCGCACCTGGATGGCCGGCTCACTCAACACGACATCACGCTATGGAGAGGGGGGAGAGAAATCTGCTTCTTATCCGTGGTGACCTTCAAATCTTAGTGGAGGAACAGTATTTTATGCAGATTATGTCACTTATATTACAGATGACCCGTTTCTGGAGTAGCAGCAGTGGCTGTGAGAAGGATAATATAGTTCTTAACAGAGTCAGAATAGAGTAGAGAGGTAATGAACGAAAGAGGGCAAATGTAAAAAAAGCACTGAATTCAATTGAGTGATAATCTTGTTTGAGTTTCAATTTGATGCAAACATTTTAACCTTCGCAGAAACATGGATCATTGGAGTTGAGGCAGTGCTCTGGTAATCAAAATGTTGTCTAAAGACATCAATGGATAATGTTTTCTTTCATGTTTTCTTTTGGCTCTAAATAAAAAGCAAATGGAATGTGTCTGTATGAAGAAACCAAAAAAAGTAATGATCATGATTTTTGGCAATAATGGTGCAGCCCTACTTAACATGGACTTACTTTTATTTCCCAGAAATCTCCCGTTACCTTAATCTTTAAAGACCCTTGCATTCATTTTTTATTTGTATTTGTGGGGGAGCAACAAAACTACATTTCTCCACACATAAATGAAGTTTTCTTATTCATTTTGTACCCAAAAGGAAGGCGAGTCCTCACAATGTGACTGTGTAAACAGATGTACGCCCCCACAACACGAGTGAAACACACAACCAGATCTGGGGAGGCGCTGCACTGGCAGCTCTGGGAGGGAAAAAAACATTTTTGACCGTTGGGACTCATCCTAATTTTTGGCCTTGATGTAACAATATTCATAATTAAGTAAATGTAACACCCTTTTCACCCCGGTAACGGTTACACTTTTCATTTGCCCTGTACAATGGGCGCTGTAAGTGATGAAAGTGGGGGATATTGGCTTAGCAGGCGCCCGCAGCTCACAGCCAAAGTGTGAGTGAGCGTGGGAGCGAGAGAGTGAGAGAGAGAGGGCGCTGTTGTTATTAGCATCTGGTGCTAGCTGCGCTAACGGATATAAGAAGATGTTTCTACAACAAGGTGGAGGAGAGTTCTCTCCAGTCAGACTGAGGCTGATAACTACAGCTCAGTGAGGTAAAGGACTCTGAGTGTTTAGATAGTTCACTTTAGTCTAAGTTATCTCAGTGGGTCTCAAACGTTTTGATCACAATTTATGTAAACACATATTTCCAAGGCACTCCTTTATAATTATTGGGATAAAACAGGTTTGAAATCATTCCAATGTATACTATAGGACAGTAAACCAGAGATATCTTTTTAAACTGGAGAGATAAAAAAAATGCATGAATAAATAAATGTTAACTAGGTAAAACAAAAATAAAATAAGTTACATGTATTTGTTATTGGCTATGGTAGGTTATTGGTTATGTTCACATACTTATTTAATTATTCAAATGTAAACCGATCTTTTTCATATGGGTGTTTAGAGTTGTACCCCCTAGATCAGGGGTCGGCAACAGGCGGACCGCGGTCCGGATCCGGACCCAGACCTATACGGACCCGGAGCTATAATCAATAGGCTACATTAATAGGGGATTTTTCGGCACCTCCCGCTTTTTTAACGCTGATTTGGGTGACTTGTGTAATTCGTGGAGAACCGAAGAGTTTTCGTTTTGGGGGTGGGGAGTCGGTCCGTCAGTCCGACTGACGGACAACTTCTCACTTCAAAAAAGAAGAAGAAATCTAGACCGCAAAAATAATTAAACAAGCGAGTACCTGTTTTTCCTGGCCAAGGACAGGTTCCTTGAACACAACACGAGCGTAACGTGTCTTCACGTGGTATATGTCTCGTCTGAAAGGAGTGCTGACAGAGAGCACCGGAACGCCGCTCCAGCTCTTCAAATATTGCAGTACCCATAAGGAGCCGTACACATGCCGCAGTGTTTGCGTGGCTGTGTCTTTAGTTGTAAGCACAGTGGCGATCTGTTGTTATTAGCATCTGGTTAGCTAGCTATGCTAACGAATTTAAAGAGCTTTTCTACAACCAGGTGGAAGAGAGCTCTCTCCTGAGAGGCTCAAATAACCTCAGCTCAGTGAGGTTAAGGCACACCTTGATATGACCATTATAGTTATTAATGAGACTAGATGAAAAACAGGTATAAAATACTATATGACAGTCACAAAAAAGTTGTTAAAAATAACAAGAATAGAGTTTAAAAGGGGAGTGATTTGTAAAATATCCAAAAAGAAAAATATGCTTACAGTTCTGTTTCTTGGTGTTGAAAGATGGATCCATAGATCTCTTCATGTTGCTCTTAAAGTGCACCAGATTGATGCTTTTAACTTCAATATTTAAGAGGTTGCTTTTTCTTTGCACAGCATGAAAGAAAGGCGAAATGAATGGGCTGTGATTTTAGTTTTTTTAAGCAGAGGTTGAGTTCAATCGTTTGTACGGCCCTCGGAGGATGTTGTAAAAATTGAAAGGAAAAAGGTTCCCCTCCCCTGCTGTAAATAATAATAAAAACCCTTGATTTATAACTTAACATCTCTGTCTCCTATTGATCTGAGTATATTATAAAGAATAGCAGTTAATTGAAGCATTATAGCACAGGCCTTTGTCAGATGGTATATTATGCTGTTTTTTTTCTGCATCGAATAGTTCTCTCTTTTTTCACCTACCTGTGTTTGCATCACTGTAACCAATGAGCACCTGCATGTGTGTGAGAATGGCCCTGACACCATTTCAGCCCAGATTTAAACTCCTGGCAGGACAAGCTCCAGCTCAATTCTCACACTGAACAAAAACAAGTGAGTGATGGACTGCAATATAAGAGGGAAAGAAAGGGAAAGAAAGAGAAACTTTAAACTGTTCAATTGTTATGATGTGTAAAGACTGATATTGTTCTATAATCGGCTGAAACTGTTAAGTCATGATGTGAAACGGTTAAGAAAGAAAAAGGGAAACTCAAGCTGCTGCTACACTTTATTTTATTTATCTAAAATCAAGCACTTTTAAGATGCACACATTTTCAAAAGCTATTTTATTTATTTTCTCCTATTTTATTTTTAAATGCAGCCCGAGAGGAACATTACACATATCCACAGTACTTACTGTATATCTGTAGTTCAATGTTAATAGACAATACATAATGTTGTTTTTTTAATTGTACTTTCTTTATTTGATTGGCAGTCAGTTGTTGATTACATGCAGACGTTGATAAAGCTACAGCTACTTCAATATATATCACACTAATTCATAAAGCAACTTAGACATTTTGATGTTCCGGACCTTTGCATGGGGACATTTTCTCTAACTGGACCTCGTTGAATTTTAGTTGAATACCCCTGCCCTAGATCTAGTCTCTAGTAATTCTGCTTAAAGTGCACCAGATTGAAGCATTTTACTTTAAAATGTTCAAACATTTACCCCGGACCCCCTTAGAGGATGTGATGTCCACCCCCGAATTCAAACATGTTCATACAATACTAGGGTTGAACGATTAATCGATTTTGAATCGAAATCGCAATTTGAAATTATGCGATTATCAAATCGCAAAGCCTGCGATTTTTTTTAAAACTTTTTTTTTTTTATTAATGTTTTTTTGTTCTTCTTGTGTGTCAGTCATCCACACCAATCAGAAGTGCTGTGCTCCACATGTACCAGCCATTGTTAACCAATCAGAAGTGCTGTGCTCCACATGTACCAGCCATTGTTAACCAATCAGAAGTGCTGTGCTCCACATGTACCAGCCATTGTTAACCAATCAGAAGTGCTGTGCTCCACATGTACCAGCCATTGTTAACCAATCAGAAGTGGCCCATGATAGAAGGTGATAGACAGATTGATCCAATCACCTGCCAAGTATTTTTGAAATAGCAAAGATCTCGCCTAGGGCAGCAAATTGGCTAGAACCGGCCCTGCACACTACACACACACACACACACACACACACACACACACACACACACACATATCCTACCTTCCTGTTAGCATCCAGGTTAGCAGCAGGTATCTGCAGCGTGACCAGGTACTCCGTCCTCTTGCTCATCTCCTCGGCGATGAACCCGGCCTCCTGAGCCAGCAGGTTGGCCCGCACGATCTGCTCCCTGAGGCGCCGCAGGCTGCGAGTAATCATCGCTTCTCTGAGACACACACACAAGTTTACAAAGCATCTGATGAATGTATGTTTCTCCTTTAAAGACAACAGGGGTCAGTTAAAGTGTCCCATCCTTAGAAGTTCCCAGAACCAGCGGTAAAAAGAAGTTTGGTGAGGCAGCTTTCATTTACTGTGCCCCAAAGCTATGGAACAAAAATACCTGTAGCGGGGAAGCCAGCTCGGTGGAAGTCTTTAAAAAAACTCATAACACATTTGTACAATTTAGCCTTTTAGGAAGTAACTCTTCTTTAACCTGTCACCTGATTGTGTGTTTTGCACTATCCTCCTTTTAATGTACAATTTCATCCCGTTGTCTCTCACCTGTCCTCGCTCCAGCGGCGCATGCGTTTCTGGGAGATGTGTGACGTTGCAGCAGCTCCTGCAGGGTCCAGCAGGTGAGAGGGTTTCTCCGGAGTCAGCCTCTGGCGGAGCTGCTGCAGCTCCTGTTCGTATATCAGCCTCTGACGCTCCAGGGCGCAGCGCTTCTCCTCCTCATGCTGCCTCTCCAGGGTCTGCAGCACCGACTGCAGGGGGTCTGAGGGGGGGGAGGAGGAGGGGCCGCAGGAGGGACAGAGAGGAGTGGGAAGAAGTTTAGAGTTTGCTATTCTTTCCTATCAAATGAACATTAGCATCAATAAAAACTGTTCAAATGAAAAGTCCTTGTCTTTGTTTAGTCAACAACTTGGAACTGCTTCAACAGGATGCACTCAGGAAAATCCAAAATGTACCACATTAAAGTCGTCTGTGCAGGATTTACACAACCAGGACATTGTGAGAAATAGAAATGTACCTGGGGTCCCACATTAAAAACATTTGGATTATTCTGCACACAAGCTGTTACCTGCTGGAGTTACTTGATGGACATTGTGTGATACAACTGTAACATCTGGATGGGTTAACTTTAAGAATAAAGATATTCTCTTAAACAGATATGACAATGACTCAACAAGTATTGTGTGTATTTCCAAAGTGACCCATTACTACAGATGTATATCTTCAGGACCAAAGTGGTTTGGGGCAGAGTGCCAGGGCAGGGAACAAATTGGTCTTTTCCTGGGATTTGTTGACACTGGTTGTCCTTAAGTCATTTATGAAGAAGTTGACAGAACTAGAAGTTATTTTGTTGGCCCCGGCCACTTTCAATGACATGCTCCACAGATACGACATGATGTAGATGGGTGAGGAGGTCATAAAAACACGAGGGGGTCTCTGCTTCAATGTTTCCACTCCCATGACAAGTATATTTAGACCTTTAACCAAATCTATCGTTTACGGTGTGGCATTTACTGAAATCTACCACAGTGTTTTAATCATTATGCCTCTTGGTGTTTGTTTTTGATCTAATATTACCATGTTAATAACAGAAACAGATCGCGTAGCATTTTGCTGCCCTGACTCATGATTATTACTTAGAAACTACCAAGTGTTTACAAGTAACAATTACAGCATTAATCACACCATTTAGAGTTTTACTTTAAGATAAGGGTTGATGCATTCAGCATTACAATATGGTTTATGACCAATGTTTGTGTGATTTGGAAGGTTTTAGACACATTACCTCAAATGTAAAGAAAAAACAAAATGATATTGCACCATAATTATAACGTATTTACCCTATTTATTTCACTTCATAACCATTTCAATCCAAATCTTGCAATAATATTACTATGTTATTGTTAGCAGGTTACCATAATATTACCAACATATCATTATACTATTCATTTGCCTTGTTGCTATCTTTAAATGTGTTTCATTACAATACATATTTGTATTTATATTTATTATAAAAAATATGATATAATTATTCATTATAAATTGTTTGCCCGTTTGTACCCGTTTACATACATTTCAGTCTAAAAATAGATATACACAGATATACCCATTATTAATACCAAGGTATTACCTGGTCATACTTTATTTGTAACTTCATGGTATTTGCTAATGACTTCCTCCTTATTATACAACTATGACATCACTGTAAGAATGTTTTTACCGAGCTTTAATGTAAAGTGCTCTCAGTAAGTCAAATCAATGTGAAATGTCTCACACATGCATACCTTTTGAGATCCTTTTTTAAAGAGTTGTATAGACACAATATCAGTTAACTGTAAAAATGCTGAGTCATGCATCGTCACTCTATTTACCATAACTGCCAAACTAAAAACACGCTCTGAGGAAGTTAAACGCATCCGCATGTATTTGACTGCATCATATGAAATAAGCATAAGTTCATATTGTTTATATCAAAGCGCTCCTTCATCACCTCTCAGAGTGACTCACCGTTGTTGCCCATGCCTTTCATCATGACTTCGGCCTGAGCAAACTCGTATCCGAAGCTCAGCTCGCTGGACACGTCGCTGGACGTGTCAAAGTCCACCTCCAGCTGGTCGCTGCTTAGACACGTCTTCATCACCCCCTCCTCATCCTCAGCCCCTGTGTGCACCATGTGCCTCGGCAGGCTGATCCTGTGTGCGTCCATCAGCAGGCGGTGTGTATTGATGTATGTAACAAAGTGGGTGACAGAAGAGGAAGTGTTACAAAATAGGAAGAGACACAATGAAGTGTTTTTGATCACATGTAAATGCATGCTGTAGAAACATGTGGGGTTCAGCTCTATATCTGTGTGATGGTTCACTTCGAGTAAACACTGTAGGTGAAGCAGACCTGAAGAAGTGGTTGTTCCCCCACAGGATACGGTCACCATGGTGAAGCTGGACCGGACTGGTGACTGCAGCACCGTTCACACACGTTCTACAGGTGGCAAAAGAAGATGTATGCAACATGAGAAAAGATGGTAGTTTACATGGTCAACTACTGAAAACAATGAACATTGCTGTGCTTCTCAAAGTGTGGTCCGCGGACCACTGGTGGTCCGTGAGCGCCCCCTAGTGGTCCGTGAGTATATTGGTAACATTTCACATTTGAAATGAATGAATTAATTAAGGTTTTCCGCACTCTCGCGGGAATATCTCCGCAATGGAGCGAGCTTAAGTTTCACTTTCGATTGCATGATATAGCCCAGATAAACACCTTCATCACACATGTGGCCACTTGTTTGTACCATTTTCAGGTGATTTGTAAAGAACTATGTGCTTTTGGATATTTGTGGAGTTAGGTGGTCCGCGAGTGTTTTTGTATTGGTTAAATGGTCCTTGGTATGAAAAGGTTTGAGAAACACTGGCTTACATAGGTCAACATGTTAGTTTACGCTGCTTTAGCTAAAAACCTCCTAGAACCTACCTACTATAAAAAAATGTATCTGGTAGCATTTAATACTTAGTCAGGTCCATATCCTTCTTATTTCCTGTTTCTATGTAAACTAGAAAATACACTTATTGATTCGGATAATTTCCCTCTCTTCGCTTCCTACTTTGAAACAAACGGTTTTGTATTCAAATGTGTATTTCCTAAAGTACGGTATCTCATTGAAAGATTCCCTTTTCAAATTGCTGCCAGACTATGGAAAATATCTTCTCCTTGAGCAAGACTTGGTTAGCAGGGACGTGCACAGACATTTGGAGGGGCTATTGCTCTAAACTGGAAACCCCCCCCCCCTTGTTTTTAATGTAAAAGGTTCATGATATAAAATGGGGTGGCAGTGGCTCAGTGGGTAGTGTGCTGGACTTCAAATCTGGGGATAGGAAGTTCAAGTCTGCTGCAAGTCTCCCTTGAAAAAGAGATTGTTGATCTCAATGGGATTTTCACCTGGTTAAATAAAGGCTACAATACAATACAAAAGTCCCACTGCAGTCAGCATGTCGTTGTTTCCCTGGTGACACTTCACACCAAATTGCTCCTGTGGGGATTGTCCACAGTACTGAATGTATGTAAGTCACTTTGGATAAAAGTGTCTAACAAATGACATGTAATGTAATGTAATAAAAGCACAACACTGTCATTGCAAGTGACACTCAGTTGACTTTCATGTCCAACTGCTAAATTCGTTATTCAGGCAATTTTTTTGCAGTCCATATCTCATTAAAATATCTAATGTTACTATTAAAGAAAAATGGGGACAATTCTGTTTTAATGTAGTTTGACCATTGTAACTGCTCGGCAGACATGGCTACTGATAAAATAGGGCTTCTAACTAATTAGGCTACCTTAAATAAAATCACGAATTAATGAAACCAGTTCAATACGCATTATTCTTATAATTCTTTATGATCGTAGTCCATAACTTAATAACAGAGATGGTCAAACTAAAGTAGAGACAATGGCAGAAATCCTACAATGAAGCGGGACAGTGAAGTGTTCTCTGAGAGAGGGCGATCAAGAAAAGAGAGTGAGCGGCCCCGTTGAGGGAGTTCACGGAGCAGATGAAAAGACACAGAAAGACCGAAGCACAATAACAACAAATAGGCTATATTTAGTTTTTTGTTGTTGTAAATAACCGACGGTGTCAAGAGGAAGTAAAGTCCCCTGGTTTGTCCCCTATACTCTAACGCCATTTGGTGTGATCACCATATATCACCATATGAGGCCGGACTCGGAGGGCTTGCCTTTTCTTCCAGCTGTCAGATTGTAAACAAAGTCACGTGACTGGAGGCAGATGAAAGCGCTGACAAGTTGTGTTTTTATCGCAGTGAGACGCTACAATACTAATTCTGGGCTTATCATGTTGATTCGGTCACAATAGAAAACAAAAAAAACTCTCGCTCTCTCCAGAGGGGCAGGTCGGACAAAAATGGCAAACGGGCTGTTGCCCGGGCAACATTAGCCCATACCTGTGCACGTCACTGTTGGTTAGACATAATGACAAAACCATACCAGATTGAGCAAAGTGTAGAACAAAAAGTTGAATTTCTCTGTAAGAGTCCTTTTCAAAGTGCTGTCAAATTCTAATAAGAACAATTGGAGCCTGTCACTGGCAACATTAAGCATTTTAATGGACAACCTTTATGGTGCAGAATTTCCTCAAGTAATTAGATTGCAGCCCATTTAGTGCAGCGCTCTTGCTCAATTTCAAAAATAATTGTCCTCATTAGACATAACATGAAAAAATAGGGTTCAGGTTGAAAAATAAAGAAGTTACCCTTTGACTTAAATATCCATTAGCACAGCTTTAAATGCAAGTGCTACCATCTATGACCCTTGCTGTCAGTTCTTCTAATCTAGTGCTTGGTGTTTCGACCTAAAAAGTGATTTTCATGCTGATTTCTCAGCATGGAAAGAACTTCCATATGAGAAAGTAAAATCAGCGGTGCACAGAGAGCTCCTCTGTGAATCAATGATAGATGTTGTTGACTGAGGTGAGCACATACCGAGCGTTGCGGTGAGGAGTGAGCATCACCCCGCTGCTCTCTGTGATGTCCATGACACAATGCTCCGCCTGGATGGCCATCCCACACAGCTGGATGTCCTGAGAGTTAGCTGAGCCCACCCGCGTGTGCTCCTGGATCACGGGAGGAAGAAACATACATATCTTTTAAATACGCAGCTTCTATTTGGGGTTTTCAAATGAAGGTTTGAACGTTTTCAGTCTTATGCTCATTTACTGGCGTTAGACAGAATAATGCTGCGCTGCATTTGAATGTTGATTAAAAACTATTTGGTACAGCCCTAGTCTACATCTGGTGTTCCCCTCTGTAGTTCAGCCTACAGTATGTACAGTAAAGAGCACTGGACTGTGTCTCAGGTACCTTCAGATAGTACACCAGCAGCTCGTTGAGGGCGGGGTCAGCGTTGAGGTTGACCAGGAAACACTTGTCATCCACCACTCTGATTCCAGACGACTGCAGGGAGATGCCCAGATTCTCCAGCTGCCTCTGACGCTCCTACAGGAAACATACATACAACATTTGAATACAAGAGCTGATAAGTTGATTGTTCTGTTCTTTAGCTGCGAGGGAAATGTTAGAGTGAAAACAAAAGGAGTAAGAATAGAGTCTTTTCTCTGTGTGTGCAGAGATGACTCAGAAGTTAGCATCCGAAGGGCTCCCTGGATGTAAAGCATTTTCTATTGGATTTCAGAATATAACCGAGAATAAGATAATCTCTACATATTAACACCACTTTTATGATTGTTGAAGGTAAATGTTGGCATTAGTCAAAAGCTAACATTAGGGTATAAACAAACTACATGACTGTTGAATGGCTGCAAATCAGATCAAGATAAAGGCGGCTAATGTTCAGCGTGATGACGTTTAATAGTCGCATTTGTAAGCGACTGCTGTATTTATGACACATAGAAGCATCAGACATTCACAAGTAGGGTCATTACTGATACTGTATATCATGCTTTAGAACAAAACGTGACATCCTCATAAGCATGTGCTAAACACAGATCTTATTTCAGACCTTGATCAAAAAACAACTTTGAGTTATGGGAACAGGGGCGGCGCCAGGGGGGAGCTAGGGGGTGCTGAAGCACCCCCCAGGATTGCCAAAGCACCCCCTAAGCACCCCCAAGAAATATGTGGTTTTTTTTTTTTTTTCGAAAATTATTATTATTTTTATTAAATTAAATTAGAAACATTATTGATTACATCAATGCAAATGTGTAACAAACAAATGTTTGACCAAAAACATAAAGCCAACACAGGTGATATGATTAGGCCAATGGCCAGCACCCATTCGATTTTTGACCTACCCATAGGCTAAATTACTTTGTGACACTTGAGTGACTTCCTGTTAGCTGGAGCCCCAAATTATTTGCTAACAGCAAAGTGACAAATGGATCGTTTTTTAGTCCTTAAACGTCCACGTGTGGACACTCAATCAAAACCACCTGAAAGCGAGAGGAATTCTGCACATAATAGGCCTCGTGAGTACAAGTAGCTTACTTCTGGGTCTGTTTCATTCAAGCCCTGCTCTGTGTGTGTGTGTGTGTGTGTGTGTGTGTGTGTGTGTGTGTGTGTGTGTGTGTGTGTGTGTGTGTGTGTGTGTGTGTGTGTGTGTGTGTGTGTGTCACGAGCCATTTTGTGTGCGTGCGCAAGCGAGCAAGATAGAGAGCTCGCGCACCGGTGGGTATCTACCGGAGATCGTTGTGGTTAGCATCTGGTGCTAGCTAGCCAAGCTAACGGATATAAGGAGCTTTTTCAACAACAAGGTGGAGGGAGAACTCTCTCCTGTCAGACTGAGAGTCTCAGATAACCTCAGCTCAGGTGAAGTAAAGGACTCTCAGTGTTTAGATAGTTAACTTTAGTCTAGTTATCTCAGTGGGTCTCAAACGGTTTGTTTTAAAAGGGGAGTGATTTGTAAAATATCTATAAAGAAAAAGAAAATCTGTTTACAGTTCTGTTTCATATGGGTGTTGAGAGATGTATCCATAGATCTCTTAATGTTCCTCTCAAAGTGCACCAGATTGATGCTTTTAACTTCAATATTTAAAAAAAACCTTCCCCCAGGAGAGGAGGTGAGGTCCACTCCCCACTTGTAAAAATAGCACTTTACCCCTGCTTACACCTAGGCTGATTATCGAGCCTTCATTGTAACAGTCGCGGGTACACTGTGTGTGCGTGTGGGGAGTGTTGCAGTAGAAAATTCAACTGTAGCGCTGGTGCATTAATGGGAAACCCTTAATGTTTGAGCACCCTCTATGAAACGTCAAGCTACCCCACAGCACCCCCAAGAGAAAATCTCTGGCGCCGCCACTGTATGGAACCAGAAACATGCTACATTTGTAAAATGCAAACTCATTTCCGGGTGTGAACACTCATTCCTGCACCACTCTATGCTGTGAAAATAATATCCTTACTGAAAAGACTCAGTAAAAAACTGAAGTGAATTAAGTCACACAGGGCAGAAAACAAATACATTCTTTCAAATGGCAGTTGCTAACAAATGGCAGAATAAGACTACTAAACGTCATCACGCTAAACATTAGCCATAGGTCAGCGCTGGAGACAAAGGAGTCAGTCAATTGTAATGTATGTAGATCGCTTAAATATAAGGACCGTTCAAATGTGGAGATTTTGAATACAACTATTTTAGAAGTTTTTTAGCAACAGATGTTTTTATCTGCTATAATCATAACGCTAATGGAAACATCCAGATGATTTTCTCAAGGGACCCCTTGAGATGCTAACTTCTTGGTCCTACAGAATACGTCATCACTGCACAAATCTTTTCCTAATTAAAGAGGAAGCAAGTGACAGGGCCCTAGAGTGCTAGGAGGCATGTATGCATGTGACGTAGGATGTGTGTGTGTGTGTGTGTGTGTGTGTGTGTGTGTGTGTGTGTGTGTGTGTGTGTGTGTGTGTGTGTGTGTGTGTGTGTGTGTGTGTGTGTGTGTGTATGTGTTACCTGTGCAATAGCCTCAGTCTTCCTGAGCTTGTCCTCCCAGGTGTAGGTCATTTCTTGGATCAGTTTTTCCGACTCCTCCAGCCTGTCCTTCAGATCGGGGGCCTTCATGGACTGTGAGAGTGACAGAAGCTGCATTACACACGGCACATTACTGTGTTTGTATTTCAATATTCACAAACTGCAGTAACCCTAACCTCAGCCTCTGTGAGCTGCTCCCTCAGCTTCTCCACTTCCTCCCGCAGCTCTCTGATGATCCTGGCGTTGGGGTCTTCGTTGACGACGGCGTGGTTGACGATGCTCTTGGCGCGGTCGGCGTAGCGCAGGGTGGACAGCGTCTCGTCATAGTTGTCCGCAGCGGGGCTGATGGTGGCGACCATGGCGGTGCGGCTGTTCCCTCCCAGGCTGTCCTGTAGGAAACATAAATCAAATAACCATCTGAGCCCTGAAGCTTGATAGGCAAAATGACCAAGAGCAATCCAGAAAATGAATTACTTAGAGACTCCAAAGCACTATTTCTTTGGATTTACAAAATGCATTTTGTTCTTATTGATCCACATATTTATAAACTATTCAGTAAACAGTATTTATTTGACTGTAACGTATTTCATTATATATTCAGTTTTATCTTATGTTTATTTGTACTTTTCTTTATCTTGAATTCTGTAGTGAATTCAAAAGGTAACAAAGTGCAATATAACTGAAGCTAAAGACACAGGAGTCCAGCTGTCCGTCTGTAGAGGAATCTTAAAAGGTGAGTTCATGTCTCTGTACCTTGAGCAGCCAGGTGAGCACAGAGTCTCTGTAGGGGACAAACTTGCTCCTGTTCTTCCCCGTTCCCTGGTCGGCCAAGGCAGAGATAACTAGACCCAGAGTACTGAGGGATCTGCAGGGGGGGCACAGAGAGGGGGGGGGGGGCAGAGTGGAGCGAGGGGAGTATTTAGGGGACAGAATGAAACAGAGAAGAACATAAAGAACAAAGTACATCTTGGCCTGAAAGGATTTCTCCCAAGGACACTTGTTGTTTACTGCAGGGAATGCGGATGGAACCGCCCACCCTGTGATTGGTAGACGGCCATTTACCACACTTAGAGCCACAGCCAGCACAAACTCAAAAGTGAGAGTAAACAAACACAATCCCAGTGTAGACTGAAAACAAACACAATCCCAGCCAACTTCTTTCAAGTTATAATACACTTAAGTAAAACACATTGAAATGTGTCTTTTATTGTATTTACTTGCATTGCATTTGATATTGAGGTAATCCACAGGTAAAAGGAAGTTATCAGGTTACATCA